CTTGTCAGTAAGAATTTCGTCTCATTTTCACAGGCACAGTAAACTTAAAATCAACCGAAGCGAGTCGTTACTTGGCAAAGTGCATAGGCATAGACGTCAGTGAACTTTTTCAAGTACACAGTCTGAAAGCCGTCCTTGCATTCATAATATAAAGCATGAAAAGAAATAAACGGTGGTGCGGTTTTTTTTCGTAACTAGTATATGGGTCGAGTGTAAGAACTAACTTTTAAAAATTTTAAGAAAGTAAAATTTAATTATTCATTTTCATTTTATATTGAAGTTTATGGTATATTTAAATATAATCATAAAATAATAACTGACCAATAGGTATTATACTATCAAAATATTATTTTATACTTTCCTAAAACAAAATCAAGTAGAATAGCAGTCTATTATAAAATATATTTTCAAGTATTTCCAAGCTAACTTAAAACACTTAGTAAGAAAATATATACCTAATAAGTAATTTTTCAAAAGCTTTTTTATGTCTTATTATACAATATATTATACTTCGTAAAAAATATAGTCATAACACTATTTTGTGGCTACAGTCCATTTATTCATTAATAGGTGCTGTAACAGCTAAATGCCAGTATCAAATATTCATTTCTGTTTAGAAATCCGTCCAAATATAAAAAATATTTTTAACAATAATTCTTTGAAAAAATATTGTACTTACAACCTTCTAAGGCCTGACCTTATTCAGTAGCAAAAAATAGAATTAAAACCTCTTTGTTATTTAATTAATACCATCCACTTGCGTGGTGTCTATTCCACCCATCAAACGGCGAGACAAAGCCATAAACTGTGTCAAATTAAAAAACCCTTTGAACGCACCGTGAACATAATCGTATACGAAAATAAAAAGATCGTTTTGAATTCGAGACATGTGTCCACATGTTACTAAGAGTCGAGCCGTGTATAATGTGATAAACTATAGCCCCGTACCGCTGAGACGGCTTTTAATTACCATCTTTTAAGATATCGCCCTGCTCTTATTTTTACACCGCATAGTGCTGACTTTCAGTAGGGTGTTTTGAAATAGATCGTGATTATTTTTCTAATGTCGTGTTCTTTTATCTTCACCTTAAAAGCGACCAAATAAAAAATAATGACAGTTTTGTGGGGAACTAAGTAATAGGCGATAAGTTTATATTGTCACTAATAAATGGTTATTATCATCGGCCACAAAACAAAACTTCTTTAACTGCAGCTTAAAAGTTAATGTTTTAGTTCATACAAATCACGACTTTCGGTAGATTTTTTAAACGGTAGCCACGTTATGTATCACTAATTGGCACTTATGAAAAACCCCAACGCTTTCAAGTTTCAAATGCAACTCGAAACAAAGCTTTTTGAAACAAGATTTTAGACTAAAAAATTAAATAGAAATTATATTTTTAAATGGAAAACGTATTTAAATTTTAAAAAAATGATATTGTCATGTAATAGTGTACATAAACAAATGCAAACTATTAGCAATTACAATTTAAAAAATCTACGATCAGACATGTCTCGGTGTTGACTTTGGAGCGCCTTTCCGTCGCCAAGTCAAGATAACCGGCACGCAAGTACGAAGTAATAGGAGTACATAATAGAAAAAATCATTGTAATATACACCATGATACGTTGTAATACATCTTATTTTTGCTTAAAATAAAAATAAATCTGTGCCCTAACTTAAACGTTTGATGTACAACGCAGACTGACATGCTCGAGTCAAGAAGACTCCCACGACCTCGACCATATCCTAAAAATAATATGGATATTGACACCACCTTCTTAAATTTATGTTAATAAAATATCTTATACTTCTTTATCACTGTATTATAAAATACTTGGTACCTACCCAAGTATTATTTTGAATTATGTGTTATGAATAACATTTTCAAAAAGCTCAAGTTGTTATTGCATTTTACAAAAGTCCAAACAACTAAAGCAATTTTCGCGGAACTTACAGAACAGTTGCGAATAGCGGATAAGACTGACAAGCGTATATTACGCGAGAAAAATCGCGAGCGAAAGCTAGTTATATAATTCACAATACTTATACGTAATTTTAAAACCAAAATTAAAATGTTAATCAGAAATGTTTTTTCTATACCTACTTGAAAAAAACAACTGCATTGAGTTATCTGAGATCTTATTTCTAAACTAAGGTAGTGAACAGAAATACTGCCAAAAGTAAATGCAGCAATGAATAAAATAAAATATAACTTCTTCTTTAAAAACATATTTTCGTGTAGATTTAAGGTTTAGTTTAGTTTTTTATCAATCTACGAGTGAATATTATAAAATTTTATCACCATATTTATTTGTTTAATAATTATTTTAAATAGGAATAATAAAATAAAAGATTTCTGTGTGTCAAAAAACACATACATAGATAGGTATTAGGTATAATACATTATTGTCTGAATTAAAAATATAACAAAAAAATTAAAAGATCGAATTGATCTCATAAAGTATAAGATGAGATTTAGAAGATAGTGATTTACTTGATATGATACAGTAAGAATCAACACAGTAACAAAATTACTGAGAGTAGCAAAGAAATATTAAAAATATTATTGTGAGGTACATGTACTTTAAAGTACCTACCCACCAAACCGCTTAATCCACAAATTTCTTTACTTACTGCACTGAAAGACGAAAAAAGTGGTTGAGCTTTAATATATCGCATACATACTCATATTATGAGTACAAAATGGAGAAACTAATTAAATTAGAAAAAAAAATTACAAAATACAGACTGATACCTAACTATAGATTAATATTAGCATCTAGACACTTACATTTCAAGAGCAATGGCCAGGACATTCAATTTAGCTCTTACGCGAACCAAATGTGATAACGTAAACAATGAGAAGGGGTGTTCGTCATCAACTAACGTAATTTCAAGTGGCCGGTCCATATATTATGACAAGTGTAAACATCAGACTATTAATAAATCTCTAAGACAAATATTGAGGATAAGCTCAAAATAACCATTTGGATGGATTCATTTTAAATAAATATCTCATCTATACATAATATAATAAAACTGTAGAGGTCGAATGTAACATAGAAAAAAATGCTAAAAACCAAGTCAAAGGGATGTAAGAACTGAGAAGAGAAATAGAACAAATCCAGTTTTTTTTTTTCAATTTTTTTGGTTCTCTGTCTGTTTGTCTGTTTGTACGGGCTAATCTCTGAAACTTTTGGACCGATTTAAATGAATCTTTCATGGTGGTATCTTATATTCCCGGTCAACATTTTAAAGATTTTCATCCTGGAGTTCCCGTGGGATAGTTAAAAAACTATAGTAACTTATACAGCTTAGTACTTACACACAACTACTGATTAGACTTGACAGTAAGTTCATATATCAGAATATTTGTTATTCTGATATATAGATTTTATCCCGGAAAAATGTATGGTTCCCGTGGGATAAATTTGTTTTTGTTTGTCTAGAGGCGAACCCGAGCGGAGCGACGGTGAGCCGCTAGTTTTTAATATTTTAAGAGACAGGTTATATATAAATATTAAATAGGTTTCTCTATGAAACAACTTTTATTCATGACTGATTTTGAATTTTATAACCATCTGGATATAAATTAAAAAAAACTAATACATGCAGTTACTTTACAAGTAATAATAGTTATTATGTTATGAAAAGTATGTGAAACAATAGGTATCTATAGTAGTAAAAACAAAAAAATATTTTAAAAGTCGCGTAAAAGTGTACTTGAAACTGTAGAAACGACACTTATATTTTAAAGAGGTACTAGTTTGTAAGTTTGGATGTAGATGGTACCTCCTAAAGTACTGATTAGATTCTAAAAATTCTTTTACTGATAGGAAGATACAAACCCATCCTAGTATTATACCTAGGCTATTTTTTATTCTGATAAAAAATATTTACTGTCAAAAAAACCTGGCCATTGAGTTGCTATCGTGCACTACCTAAGTGGTTTGAAATAAAACAATAAAATGTATGGAAATTGGAGCAAAGTGAAGGTAGGTCGCTAGCATATTAAAAATTTAGATTTGAAAATAAAAAACTCAAAAAGGCCAACGTCACGCGGTGTTCCCAGGCGGTCACCCATCCAAGTACTAACCGCGCCCGATGTTGCTTAACTTCGGTGATCGGACGAGAACCGGTGTATTCAACGTGGTATGGACGTTGACGAGTACTTTAGACAATTTTATGAACATATGATTGTAATTTATGCAAAAAGTAAAAATATTATTTTTTATAAGTATATTTGATACAATAACTTTTATTAATTACAATTTAAAATATTATTTTATAATTATTATATAAAATATAAGTAACATAAAATAAATTGTTTGTTATATTTCGTATACACTGTATAGTAAGCCTCTCAGTAATAGCCCGGAGTTGGGAAGTTGGCGGTGTTTCACCCCCGTGCCTCGGAGAGCACGTAAAGCCGTCGGTCCTGCGCCTAACTCTCACCGGTCGTATCGACTGTCGAGCAGTCGTCCCATCGGAGTATGAGAGTGACAGGAATAGAGAGTGCACTTGTGTCTGCGCGTACACTTGTGCACTATAATATCTCCTGCGCAGTTGGCTAGTCTCATTGTGCTCTGTGGTCTCTTTATATATGTAGCAATATACTCTATGGTGGTCTCATTGAGATTGGCCGCCGTGGCCGGAATCGGTCAGGAGAACATCAATCATAGTTGTAAAGTGACATCTAGTATAAAAACATAAAACTACTTAGTTCAGTAATAATATTCAAAATAGTAAATCACATTAAATTATATCATAAAATAAATACATAATTCCATTAAAAAAAATAGATTTATTAGATAACAGATTATGTTACTTTGCCCTTTGCCACAGATAAAGAGGCTTTCTTAATATTTATATTTTTAATAGGCTAAACAATTTATAATGTCAAATCGTTGAATGTGTCAAAGTCAGGCAACAGCTGATTAATTGAAAAAGTAACTTTTTTATTATTATATTTATAGTAAATAGTAAATAACCAATTATGAATGTTATATGGAGGCGAAATAATATTGCTCAGTGTTTATTACGTAGCTTTTCAAATAAACTGAGAATTCAATCACTACCGGCGTGTTGTTATCACATCCAAAATGTTAACAAAAGTTATTCAATCACAAATTTAACTCCACTTAATTTATCTTATAATGCAATTCGTCACAAGTCTAAGGTTTGTAGAAAAGCCAAAGAAATTATCATCAAAAGTAATAGTTATGAATGACTTAAAAGTATCATTAGCACAATGATTGTATTTAAATAACCTTTGTTATTATAGCAAGCTGATGCAGATTCTGATGATGAAAATGAAATTTTTGATGATGATACTTCCCTATCAAGAGATTCGAAAGTTATAAAATTTAATACTACCTCATTGAGAACTGATGCCATATTAAAATCTGCTTTAGGAGTAGCGAGAAAGTGAGTACCTACTATATTTTATTTACATTTACAAAAGATTATCGTTTAAATGTTTAAGATATTAATAATAATTATTATTATTCTTTAATGGCTTAGAGTTGCATTAACAGACGGCAATATATTCTGGCAGTGTCTTAATTATTATTATTAATTAAGTAGGTAAACAAAATATTACTATCACTGACTTGAAACAAAAATAGTGTAATTGAGAAAATCTATGCTCAGGTTTATTTAAAATTTAATAATTTGATATCTTAAAATTGTTATCATAAAATATCATTAAATATAGTATAAATTTTATATTTTCAGCAAAATAGAAAAACTATTCTATGAAAGCAAGATCAGAGTTAATGGCAAGAAAATTTTGAAAAAGAGTTCACCAGTAAGTTTATTTTCATCTTTTTATTCCTTCTCTTTCTATTTATGTCATATGTGCTCAGACAAGTGCATTTAATTTTGAATTGTATATTTGACATCAATTAACAATTTAAGTGTTAAGCACTTCTTACAAGACTAGACATCCTCTTATCGCCACTACTGGTGACAGGAGAGCTAACTCATTTTTCACCCAAAAAATGGACATTGCCATTCAGCGGGGGAATGCAGCTAGCATTCTTGCCACTATTCCACACATACATGACTTCAAACTTGTCAGTAATAATTAAGTTTATATATATAATTAAGTATATTTGTAATTTTGTTTATTGTAAATAAAAACAAAGTTAAAAAAACGCTAAATAATTGCAAAAAAACGAACAATGTCCCTAGTAATTCTAAAATATTTTTTTTCTTTCATTTCAACTCTCTACAATTTTCTCCTTATGGGACAGATGAGAATTTTTAATTAATTTTATTTACATCTAAAGTCACATAATATGTAGATTAATGACCATTTTAATATCTCCTGTAATAAAACATTAACAATGATTGGTATTCATGTTTTCTTTTATAGGTAAGAATAGACTATGAAATAGACATAGTAAAAAGTGTAAGTCCCAAAAACCCAGATCATTTATATGTATCAAGGGTTGAAATATTAAATATAGCAGCAAAAGAGGAGAGTATTTATATAACTGCGAGAAGATTTAAGACATTACTGATTGAAAATTATGAAGAAGATCCATACAAACCATCTACTTCAAGCGAAGATCAATAAAAGTACTGCTTTTTAGTACATTATAATTAATTTATAAGTAGAAACATATTTTTAAAGTATCTACAATAGTTTTATTTTTGTTATAGATTATATCTACCCCAAATTTTCTATTACACATTTTTGGATTCACCGTCTGAGAAAATGTAGCCTAATAAAATTAACAAAAACTTCTCTCTTTTTAATAGAACACCACAGGATTACTTACGCCTTCAGTCTCAGTGATTGTTCCTTACGATTGACCTACCGCCTTCGCCGATAAAATCGACTATCCGACTTTGAAAAAATGATTAATCATAGAGCTGTTTGTAATCAAATCAAAATATACTTTGTTCAAATAGACTTTTACAAGCACTTTGAATAGTCAATTATACATTTTAAATTTAAATTAAATGTCAGTGTAGTCAGTCTATGAGAAATGATGATGAATGATGTATTTTATTATTGCACATATTTTTATAAAATAATATACTTTAGCAATTTTCTTCCCTCTATTATACATATATGGCAAAATAAAAAATAGGTGTATCTGTGCTACTTTGTATTTTTTATACGTGATTTTATTGTAGGGACAACAATAAACAATTTTATAAAATAATTTACTTTATTATAGTTAAATATCTAAATCTATATCACAGTCGGAACTCTCAAACATGGATATTTGCGAGCTGGACGCAGATTGTTTTTGTATACAAGAATTACTCTGAGTTCTATCTTTCTTGCGTAATATTGCAACATTATTTTGAGGGATCTCCTTGTAAAACTTATCCAAATCATGATTTGCTGAAAATTCAAATTGCTTTAACTTATTTGCAGTTGTATTTAACTTTTCTTTATTAATAATGTTTGTTTGTTTCGAATCATCACTAACATTTGCAGGTAAATCGATATCATCAAAATCGATATTTGAATCATCGCTATGGATTTTAAAATCGATTCCAATTTTCATTAAATCATCGTTTACACTCGGAATGCCCTTAAGCAATTCTGTGGTGTTAAATTCCTCGCTATCATTAGAACCATTATCATTATCTGATTTTATTTGATCAATTATTTTAACTTTCTTTTTCTTAATTTTCAAATTACTGTTGCGTCCAGCTGTTGCTTCTTTTCTTAATCTTTTTGAAGAAACTGGTGATATCTTTTTAACTTTATTTCGTACAATTTTCTTTTTTGAAGTATCATTTAGTTTATTAATGTCACAATCAGTGTTTTTCATTTCAGAACGATTTTCTTTATTATCTACTTTATTTTTACTTTTGTCAACCTGTTCACGATCAGTGTTTTTCGTTTTAGGATCAATTTCTTTATTATCTATGTTGGTTTTGTCATCTACCTGAAATTGTACCTTTTCTTGCATTCCATTACTTACTTCAGAATTGTTACTGAAGTTATCTGCTTCTACATCTTTGCTCAAAATGGAAACATTATTTGAATTATTCTTTGAATCATCATCACTGTCAGACATATTAAAGTCAATTTGAAATTTTTTAGACCTTTTCTTGTCCTTCTCTTTATCACTTGAAAATTTACTGGTATCAATGATAACTTCCTTTCGTTTACGTTTTGTATATTTTCTTTTATTATTAACAGGTGGGTCTTTTTGAATTTTATTGAGAGTCGCGTGTTTTTTCAAAGTAGCCGCCAATTTATCGTTAATAGGATTACTTGATTTCTCTTTATCTTTAAGATGTTCGTTATTTTTCTTATTATTATTGAAATAAGAACTTGTTACTACAGATGCAGATAGAGGTATATTATCATCTGTAACATCGTCGTACTTCTCAAATAGTTTAGAGTTGCTGTTCTCTATATCATTTTCTAACGTTTTATGATCAACTTGCATTAATTTTCCATAGTATAACAATTCATCTCTCCATATATCGTACAGACTCATTTTAGTTAATAATTTTTTTGCAGTACAAAGATAATCAAAGTCTGGATATTTTTGATATGTCGAATGTAATGCGTCCGCTGTGTCTTCTAAAGTGCAGTCTTGCATTGAAAGATCGACTAATGTAATTGCAATTATAGCGTCTATAGGTAAAATGGTTTTCCTGTACATAAGACGACAGTGTGCTTGTGATAATCTGTAAAATAATTTATTCTGTATTTTTTTTTATTAGTTATACATATTTATTATTCACTAATATTTTTTTTTATATTCGACCTAAGTATTTGATTCTGAATATTCTTTCACTAATAAAAAGCTCGTTTACCCCCGAATGCTATAGGCTATTTTTATTCCGATAAAAATATATTACTTTCAGAAATCATGATAACTTTATTTAAGTTACTTTATCGGCTACTAGATACTCACCATCGTTTTGCTTGGATTCGTCCTTAGTGAAAATCGACAACAATTCTATCCCACGGAAACCGTACCGTCCCATTTCTCCGGGATAAAAAGTAACCTATGCGCTATTCCAGACTATAATCTATCTCTGCGCCAAATTTCATCCAGATCCGTTCAGCCGTTCTGGCGTGAAAGACTAACAAACATCCATACATCCAAACTTCCAAATATTTTACCTTATTAAACTATCCAGCATTCTTACAGTTGTTCTTGAAGGATCTCTATACTCCGATTTTCTTTGCATCATGTAGTAACATTGTATTATTGTGTTCGCTGATTTCGTCATTTGGGTTTGCCTTGGCCCTATTAAACCTATATACATCTGAAAAAATATAAAGTTACTTTATTTAAAATATTATTTTTAAAACTTAACAAAATTTAGATAAAATTATTACACTTATTTTTATTTATATAAGAACTAAAATATTTAAGAAATCTTTGTTTTATACAAAAGAAGTACAATATTGTTTGATGAAAATCTTATTTAGTACCTGTAATTTTTCTATACTCCATTTCTTTTTTGTTTCCATTTGATTGGAACCACCAAATAATATATATGATGAAACTAATTTATCCCATGATTTATTTTTGGAATCCAGCAAAATAAAGATTAGATCAAATCTGCAAAAAAAGAAAGCTAATAATAATAATAATATAGTAAGCTAATAATAATATAATGACTACTTATCAAGGTTCAAGTACTGAAATAGCAAAAGAGTAATAGTAACAAAATCAAAGAAAAAAAACATATAAATATGATATTTTACCTACTTAACAAGGGTGTTCCCAACGACACATTGACACTTAGCGGTTGGTCGGTCTGGTAGTGGCCTTTGGGGTTACACGCGGCGATGACGGCGCACCTTGTGTTTAATTTACACACTATACCCGCCTGGAAATGAGAATTAACTATTTTACTATACTTATACTAGTTAATCTTTACTATACTTATACTAGTAAATCAGTGGCGGATTTGCATATTTGCCAGTAGCCATGTGCCAGTAGGCTATTCAAATTTTGCCGCCCCTATCGACCTCTACAAGTGTAAAGTATCAGTTCCTAGATTATTTTTACAATGCAACAGCTTAGTTAAGATTGCACCAAGAAATAGTTTTTGGGTATACTTCTGAGCTAATAAAAGCTCAATTATGTACTACTAATAAAGCGGGATAAAGTAAGCCTTAATAGTACTGACACAATAATTTACTTTCCCGATGTCAGTCAGAAATTTTTGCCAGCCATAAATCATAATTTCTTGAACCAACATTAAGCCAATTTTTGAAAAATTTATGTTAGTGGTGAAACATATTACATGTTGAATTGTTTGTGTGGACCTAATAACACTTAGGTATGAAACTTTAGGTAAATATGAATCTTTTTAATTTCTGTAAGACAAAAAAAAGTTTTGGCCTCAATTTGCCGCCCTAGGCTCCAGCCTACTGAGCCTGCTGGTAAATTCACCACTGTAGTAAATACTCGTTGGTATAGACTATTTAATATATTTCTTTAATTTATTTGACAAGCCCAATACGTTAGATTCGAATTTTAGGGCCAGAATTTTTAGTGTTACTAATTAAAGCTAATTTTAGTTTCTCAGTTTTCATATAAAAATTGGCATCAAAGTAACTTAAACGGCTTAAGCGAATATTTAATTAAAATACTTTCTTTTTATTTTACTACTACTATGCCTACACTAAAAAGGTAAAAATAAAAACTAAAAAAAACCGAATTCAGAGAAAACACGAAAAAGTAAAAAATAACTGATTAGTAGTTTTCATTTACTATAGACACCTAATCAAATATTTTCGAAGTCGGTGTGCTTTGATTTGCATCGGCTGGCAGTTATTTTTTTACTTTTTAGTGTTTTTTTGAAGTCGGTTTTTTAAGTTTTTATTTAATAAAAACGTAAAATACTCTGCAGTATGAACTGCCTTATCTATTTTTTTTACGGATGTGTATACAGGTGGTATAGTGAAGCAATTGTTTTAAAACTCATTTTGGTTCCTTTGTATTCGGGAGGCGTTAGGTAAGAATAATGAAATAGTAATTATATACTTTAGCAACAGATATAGTCTGTTGTTCCATGGCCTCGTGTATCGCAGCTCTGTCGTGGTCCCTCAGGTGCGAGATCTCGTCAATGCAACAAACACCGCCGTCGGACAGAACTAGTGCACCCGCTTCTAACTGCCATTCGCCTTCTTCCTAAAATTGTATTCTTTATTAATAGACCAGGGTCGATATTTTTAAACCAAAAAAATATAAGTAGTAGGATAAAACCCAATGATAAAAAAAAGTAAAAGGAAGAGAATATCACATAAATTAAAGGAAAAATAATTTACGGGTGATCTGAGGTCGGAAAGTGGAAGGGGGTGAGTTTTTAAGGGTAAAAACGGTTTATCTCGATTTCCGGCAAAAGTACAAATTAAAAAGTTAAATGGCAAATGGAAAAAAGTTAGATTTAACTTTTTCCTTCCTGGTAAGTTTTGATATTTTTTAATGACTGGTTCAAAACCGCTCTTTTTTGTTTTTATTGCTCATAACTTTCTTAATAATGGTTGAAAATCAACTTTTAAAAACACGAACCTTAAAATTCAAAAGTCTCGATGAAAACTTTTAAATACATTTTTTTTTATATTCTTTTATGTAAAGGTAATCCAAAAACAAAAATATTGAAAAAAAATAATTGAACTTCGACCATACAGAAAGTTATGAGCAAAAAACAAAAAAAGAGCCTTTTTTTTGAAAATTCGATATTTTTGTACCAATGATCAAAAAAAAATCAAGCCTCTTTTGAGAGATTTATAGGTTGTATTATGACGTGTGTTGTATTACACTATTTTGGGTTGTATTACAACGTGGGTGGGTGTGAGACAATCTCCCGCGGTAAAAAATAGCCTATGTCACTCTCCAGCCCTCCAACTATCTCCACACAAAACAACACGCCAATCCGTCACTCCGTTTCGACGTGAAAGAAGGACAAACAAACATACTTTCACATTTATAATATTGTATATATATGTATGTATGGATGTAGTGACAAACCCTTACCCGTAGTGCAGCACACGTGAGCCCCGCGCGAGTGCTTCCGGCGCCCGACGTGAACACCGAGCGTGGTGTCAACTCGGCACTAGCCTTCAGTAACTGCGACTTGCCTGTACCTGAAAAATATAATATAATTGGCATTAATAGATGTGACAAGCTCATTAAAAAATACTCCAATATGCCAGGTAAGGTCGATTCCAGAGAGGGTAGTTTTATTTTCTTTACACAGCACCATCTAGTTCCATGGTAAGCTACAAGGCTTGTGATATGGATACCAGATAGTTGATACACTATACATATATAACTTTAATTACATCTAATATATAAAATTTCCATGTCACAATGTTAGTTACCGTACTCCTCCGAAACAGCTTACCGATTTTTACCAAATTTTATATTCAGTAGGTCTGAGAATCGGCTACTATTTATTTTCTATACCCCTAAGTGATAAGGATAAGGGTGGTCCTCCCAGACCCCACCCCAGGGACGAACCCGAGCGGAGCGAGGGTGAGTCGCTAGTACATGAGTACAAACATTCGTGCTCAGCACTGGCACAGCAAGTAGGGCCACTACACTGAGCCAAACGTGTCGTGGAACGGAAAGACCACGCTTTCTGTTCTAACCTGTTTTAAGGTTTTTAATTTATTATTTAATACCTTTTAGCATACAAATCTGGTGCTATTTTATGTACTAAGAATTATATTTTTTAAACCATAAAACATGTTAATCAACACAACCCAGGGATGTTGTCACCAAAAATTTGCTCCAGGCTATTTTTAATTTTCAGACAGATCGATAGACAGAGGGACAACAAAGTGATACTAAAACGGTTTTTTTTTTCCTTTTGAGGCACGGAACCCTAAAGAAAAGAATATAATACATTTTTTTACCTGGATCCCCAACCAGTAACAAATGGCACTGCCCTCTAACATGAGTGTTGTGATCGTCCATTGATTTCTTATCATTTTCCACCATGTTATTCGATCCTGTTATAACTGTCAATAGAACTGCCAACTTAACCAAATAAAGGCCATACACCTAGAACAAACATTTGAGAATTTAAAAAAATACAATTTTTTATCGGATAAAGTATTTTTTTTTTAAGAATGTTACTGTAAAAAATGTATACTTTAGTTCTCAACTTATCAATACATAGCACTAGCCACTATCCAATAACATAGGAAAATTAAAAACCCTTTTTTTCGTTAGTGTAAAAATTTACTTATCTTTCAATGTATATCATCATCAGAGATCAAATAGTGTGTAAAGTTATAGCTGTAATTTCATATCTATTAAACTGTTTAAAATGAAACACCAATGTTATGTTTCACACCAAAAAGTTGTATCAGCCGTATAATTTGAAAAATCTAACAAAAGTCATAGGTAGTATGCTCATCAAAAAAACATGTATTCAGCCCTTATCATAACGTCCCACTGCTGGGCACGGACCTACGTTCAATACGAGAGCATCTTAATTGCACTTCTATTGTTTATCAAACATTTCTATAATAGGTACTTGTATAAAAAATCAATATAAAGAAAAAAATTATCAAACCTGAGGACAAACCGATGCTAAAATTTGATCTCTTCCCTTCAAAGGACATTGTTCATATTTCGTCCAAAAATCATCAAAACAGTCCTTCACATCTGGCGCCATTGCTATAACTTGAGATCTTTGCGCATTTATTACTTCTATAAAATTGGCTTGTAGAACTAATTCTACTTCGCATTTTCGATTCTGATACGACGGGCGCCATCGACGGCGTACTGAGCCACTAAAATACATATCCTTATATATATAATTCTTCTGTGAGTGTGTATGTCACTGAACTTCTCTCAAATGACTGGACCGATTTTGATGAAATTTTTTGTGTGTGTTCAAGGGGATCTGAGAATGGTTTAGATTCACAATTTGAATAATAATTTTCATCAAAATGGTCCAGAATGTTTTAGCTTATTAAAAAAAGTTTGAAATTTTCAAATTAAAGACGTGTAGACAGGACAACGTCTGTCGGGTCCGCTAGTTATATGTAAATCCATACTTAATATATTAAATGTGAAAGTGTGTTTTTGTTTATTTGTCCTTTCACGTTGAAACAGAGCAACGGATTGGCATGATTTTTTATGTGGAGATAGTTGGAAGGCTGGAAAGTGACATAGGCTACTTTTTACCGCGGGAGATTATCTCATTCCAAAGAGAAAACACGACAAAAGTTACCTAATTCGGCTAGTGGAATAGCATGGTTATAATGAGTACTATCTTTGATGAACAATGCAAATGCTGGGATTAATTTTGGTATATCCCAGATACTATTAATACCTATCTATTCATGTTTTTTACAGTCTATTAAGACAAAGAGAGAAAGGATTAGATCTGGTGGTATAAATGCAGAATAGACTTGACAGTAAACACTCACTAATAGATAAAAATAAAGTGTTAGCTGATAGTGCAAGTGATCTGCATTGTTTAAGTGACACAGATGATGTACTTTCAAAATACACGTATCGGCGGCATGTTTAAGAAACATAATGTACACAAGCCCTTTTAAAATAATTAACGCAGAATACACATAACACGAGTCGTCAAGTGCATGGCATATTATACAAACATAACATAATATGAAAAAAGGAAACAAGGTTATTCCTATAAGATTTATTATTGTAGTTAACTTACCAAATAATAACATCATCTCCTGGCTTACAGCAGTCGACTAAATCATCTTCTAATACAACCCACATCGACCCTGGTATTGTGCCAATACTTAGTTTGTTTACTTGTTCCTTTTAAAATGGAAAAAATACATTTTAACTTCTTTATTTACTGTTAATAATTATCGAAATATTATATGTATTGTAATATAAAAAAAATTCATTGCCTATTATGTTCAAATATTCAGTGAAATTGTGTGTAATTATAGATAAAAATAAGATCTTAGCTATAATAATGGGTGTTTAAATAAATTTCAAATATGTGATAAATACATTTGAAATAGACAATTATGTTACTAGTGATTTACCATTGCTTCGCTTGGGTTCATACATAGGTATGTTTTAATAAATAGTATAGAATACATATATAGTCGATCCCTTGCTCTATGAAAAAGGAATCTATCCTACAGGAACCGTGCATTTTCCAGGAAAAAAATTAAAGTAAACTAAACTATATGCTCAGTGCTATTCCAGACTATAATCAAATTGTGCCAAATTTCATCCAGATCTGTTCAGCCATTCTAGTGTGATTAAGGAACAAACATCCATCTATCCAAACTTTCACATTTATGATATTAATGTGACTTATTAATTGTTAAATTTGAATTTAGACAAATTTAACTTTTATCAATAATATTGTTTTGTAAAATTTTTAAATGATATTTTTGGATACCTGTATCTTAATTTCCTGATAATCTTTGCAAAACTCTCTAGAAACTAGGCTGACTTGTGTAAATGTTGAACATCTACATCTTGTTTCTGTGTTTCCACATTTTGATGGTGCTCTCAATATATATCTATTTTCAAAATCTGCTTCAACACAGTTTTCAAATTTACACTTCATACAAACATACTTTCTTTGATATTCTAACATCTTTGATTGTGTTACACGGACAACAGTAGCTGCAAAAAAACTTGAAAGGTTTATAAATTTTATTTATCTACTTATTGCTTCTAGGAGAAAACCAACTATGGAACAAATGATAATATTTATAATCTATCATTCCTTAGTCACCCCTTTTTACTTTCAATGACTGCAACAACTAAACAGTTATTATTATTTTAATAACTGTAATAAAATGACTTCAGTTTTATAATATCATGAAAATTTATTTAATAAGAATGTACCTGTTACTTTCAAAAAGCATCCCAAATCCACATTTTTAGGAAATATATTCCTATGCAATTCAGGACAAACTGGCAGCCCAAAGAACCTAGCATGAACATTCCTTTTTAAATAAGTAAATGGTAATTTTTGAACAAGCGGCTTATACTCTTCTTTCTCTAAAATATTTTGCTGTACTTTTATAATATCCTTATTACAAGCTGGTAATGTATTAACTGGACTACATAAAACTTTATCTCCGACATCAGGATAAGTTTCAAAGAGTTTTAGGAAACTAAAATTAAAAAGAAATACATCTATATTAAATATATATAAAGTAAATTAATAAAATATAAGATTATATGAGAGAAATAAACTTACTCTATCTTAATACTATAGTAACCTAGAATATCTTGTTCTGATAGTATATTAAGACAATCGTGTAAGTGAAATGATATAATATATTCTTCAATCATATTATGCTAATTTTATTTTATGTAAAATAATATAAACGAAATAAAATAAATTAAAAAGTTTTTACTGTCAAACTTGTATGAAGATTACTTTTTTTAGATTGAGATTGTATTAAACACATTTCCAAAACATTTCCTTGGCTGATATGAATTTTTTTTCACAATTTTATAATAATTTAATTAATATAGCTCTAATAATAAATATATTTTAAAATTTCAAAATAAAAACCACTTTTAATAAACGCAAACAAGTCAACAGATCATAGATGACAATTGACATTTGAATTTTGACAAATAGAAACACATGCAAACCAGGAACAAGACACTACTACTGACTAACAGAACACTTTTATTCAGAGAGACTACTAGAGTTACCTACTAAGCACAGATTAAATATTGACTTTTAGGTTGCTGCTTTACACCTTGCGTGAAATATATTTTAGTTTACACTAGCGCAAAGAGTATTGCACTAGCGACTCAGCTTCTCCCCACTCGGGTTCGTTCTGCTAGAAAAGTATTTGCTGTTTAAAAATAGAACTTCTGCTAAACTTGAAACAGTCGACTTATTTACACAGAGTAGATAAATTTAAAGTTCAAGGTTTGACTTGGCTAGTTTTTACCAATAAAGCAAGTTTTTAGAAAAGTAAGACATGTTGACCTTACAATATAAAAACAGTAACTTGCGTATAGTTTAAAGAAGATATAAGTGATTAGCCGAATAAAAAACAAGAAATTGTGTTTTTAAATTTATTTTAGAATTTTGTATGTTCCTATGAAAAAATTCAGGATTATTTACAGAACTTGGCACACATTTAGATCTGAATTTTTTGGTCGGTGAAGTTGACAACCACGCATATTCTATTGAACTTGGCTCACATTTGATTTTGATGGGGTACAATACTTCATGTTCTTATAGCGCAATTTTTTAAAACGTTACTTAGTTCATAATAATTTGTTATTAATTTTGGATGAAAATTAAACGCCTGACGATACATGTATTGATCGCCATTTATTGAAAATTGTTTAGAATTTAGATCTGTGACAGTGGACTTGTCGGTTTCTTATATAAACTAATTATACGTTCGACTTGCCGCTTGATTTAATTAAAATATAGAAAAATATTAACAATAATTTAAAGAGTAAAAATAAAAAGCATATATTGTGTTTAATATAAATTATATATTTATCGAGTTGTACTGTATTCTACACATCGAGATGGGTCAGTAGGAAAATATTCTTGGCATTTTGTCATGAGCCTTTTCAATGCTTGTATATATTTTCTTTGAGTTTCGTCATTCATTACATGGGCGACGTTTTTCGAGAAAATCTTCTCCCGACCAGTACGAGCGTGAATACCGACCATGGTGACACCAATAGGCCATGGGGCATTACCTATAGCCATCTGTAGGTATGCATCACTTGCCTGTTAAAAAATGTACCTGATCTTATCAAACCATAATTTAAATTATTTTACGTATCAATTAGACATTTCATTATTTTTACTAGCAACTCTCCCTTGCTTCGCTTGGGTTCGTCCCTAGAGAAAAACAAAAACAAATCTATTCCACAAGAACTGCACGTTTTTCTGAGATAAAAAGTAACCTATGGTTCTGGTGTGATTAACAAATATCCATCCAACCAAACTTTCGCATTTATAATATTAATAGGAACATAACATATTTATTTGTTAAATAATATATTCTTTTCATTTGCTATTTCTAACGATAAAAAGGTCACATATATAAAAATAAATGTGTTTGTACATATGTACGCACATAATAAGTTATACTTCTTTGGCATAACCAAAATAGCTAAAGACTTCATCCTGTATGTCACAACTCTCTGTTTGTAAAAGGAATGAAGCAAACTTCGTAATTGGCTGTCGGTGAAAATTTCACTCTCATAATTATTTCCAAATGTTCCAAAAGAAGTATAACTTCAAAAAAGTATTGAATGAAAAATTTGTACATTATGTTATGCATTGTAAAACAGAATTTAATAAACAATTTAATTCTATTTTACAATGAACTTTAAAACTCACCATGATATAATTTCTTTCTAATAAATGTTTTGTTATTTCCATGAGACTGTCGCAAATATCTTCTGGTAAGTTCTTTTTTTTTAATTTTCTCATCAATGGTTTAAGATATACTTGTGTTTGAGTGTATGTAGCTCTTGTCATTTTATGTTTGATTGCAGTTTTTTCTGATGCATTTGCTGAATTTAGTTGTTGCCCCCATAGCTTTAAGAGGAACTGAAAATAAAAAATATTTTTCTAAGGTACCTGAGGTATTAGTACTGTTTGTCCAGCAGTTGGACAAACAGTACTAATAGCTCAGTTTTCAATGCTTTCTGATTTAGCGTTTCCGTATTCGATGCCAGCAGATACAAATTAAAGCATGACTTCGAAAATATCTTATTAGGTATCTATTCTAAATGAAAACCCTCGTTTAGTTAATTGTTATGTTTTAGTGATTAGAAGTCAGTTTTTTTTAAGTTTTTAAAGCTTTTTTTTTCATATTATGGTAACATATTAATTAAAACATTTCTGTTATTAATAGGTCTATTTCGAGTTTTTTATTTTTCTTTTAATAAATATCATACTTACTTGTAATAGTGTCATAATAACGTTCATGTCATGATTTCTGTCACCTTGTCCCATAGTTTTAGCCATTTCTTGTATTGATTCATATGTCACCGAGTCATCTAAGTCATCTTCATTTTGCGATTTTTCATTATCATTCTAAAAACAACAGTGAATAAATATTCAATTGAATAAAAATAAACAATTCATAAGAAATATGTAATTATTTTACTAGGTGATTTTTTTAAATTTATGTATATTGCTTTTTTATTTATGAACCGATTGAAATAAAACAAATACTAAATGTTAATTAAAGTCTACCACAATTCATTCGTGAAAACTGCATCCAAATCGGTTAAGGTGTTTCTAAGATTAGCGCGTACAAACACACAGACAAGAATTCTAAAAATCATTTTTTTGGGTTCTATTGCGTTGATAAAGACCCCCAATAAGAATTTTTCTCAAATATCTTGCATGTACAGACAGCGATCAGTTACACTTTTATTATATCTATAGCATATAAATTATTAAATATGACTAACAAGATGACTACTATTTAAGCTGAACAGTTTATTTCTCTGTTTGAAGGCTCTTGTCTCTAGATTTAGTAATTAGACAATTTTATATTTAATCTTATTTATAAAAGAAAGTCTATCTTACATCACACAACCACCTACAAGAGAGCAGACCAATTCCACAAAATTAAAAGACTTGAGGGGAGTTACGAGAAATTGTTAGTGAGATGATACAACTCCTAGATACAGGAATAACAAGAATTTATAAATATAGTATAATGTCCTCCTAACCGATTTCGCCCACGACGGTCAGTCTCGTTGAGTCTAACCATCTGTGTAGGCGATATTATTGTGCCTAAAAGTATGTGCACAAACACAAGTGCATACTTTATACTTGTTACTTTTACACTTTTGTGAAACTTAAGAGATCAGGCACAGGACCGAGTCCTTTACGTGCTTTCTGACACACGGGGGTAAAATACCGCCAAATTCCTTAACCCAGACTGTTACTGATAAGAATTTATTAACAAATAACACTATAACCGAACTTGGCTCGATCAGGCATTCAAACCCGGGATATCCAGATCTGTATCAGTAGTTTGCTCAAGACTAGATTTATATAACAAATTACAGAGAAATTACAAAATATGTTTTCTATTATATCATTTAAATACAGAAAACAAAACACTTTTATTTTGAGACTTACATGTGTTCCCAATGCTAAAATTTCATTGAGATAAGCTTGATCTACTTTATCCATAGCTTCTTGAAAATCATTTCGTAGACCCTGTAATTAAAAAAAATAATAGAATTAAACTTTTTATTAACAATATAATATACTTTTAATGTTAAAAATATAAATGTAACTGTTACAATAAAATATAAGATACACTGAAGTGCATAATTAGATCATCCTAAAATCTATTATACTATATTCATTATAGCATGATGCCACTGACACTTGTCAGTACCATATGAATTGATTTTTGAGTAAAACCTAAAAGAAAAATATTTTAAAATATTTTTAATACCAAACTCATGTTTTACTATCAATTCAAAAAGCATACATTTAATAATTAATAAAAATATAACATTTATTATTATTTATTATTTACATAATTTAAAAAAAGCCAAATAAACAAAATCTAGCTGTTTCAGTTACGTAGAAAATTGTAATAATGTTTTTGTTCTTTAATTATTTGAAAATAAAAATTTAAATAACATACATTATACATATTTATATAACAATTATTTTTTAACAGCTCATAAATTCATATATGTAATATACTTATATTGTAAATAACAGAAAACTTACCCTGTTAGCTTCTGGCTCTTGTATTTCAATTCTTCTTAACCTCTTAAACGATTGAAGTTCATTTTCTCCATATAATATTATTGGATGGCCTCTTTCTCTTAATCTTTTTATAACTTCACCTCTAGGCAAAGAAACACTTTCAGTTTGCTCAGTTTCATTTTCTTGTTTTTTAACTGTGAAGAATTTATGAAATAATATTATAATTTTACGATTATTGACTTGCAAATATAAATATTGATATGAACTTTACCGTTTTCAACATTCTCTGTTTTTTTACTTTCTTCTGTTTCTTTATTACTTGGGCCATATTTTTTAAAATATTCTTCTTGTTCTTTGGCTAGAAGTTCTCCTCTTTTAAAGTATTTTTTCGATGAATTCTGTAATTAAAAAAGAAGGTTACTGAAACTTTTAGCAAAACAGAAGCAAATTTCTTAAGAAATCATAATTACTTACAAGTATGTTCTGCTCTTCTAGAAGTTTTCGTTTCCTAGCAATTTCAGCTTTGAGGATATCCATCAAAGTTATTTAATTTTTAGCTAATTTTGTTAGAAATTTTAATCTTTGAAATAAACACTAAACACCAGTAAACACACAAGACACATCAAACAATAGCGAAAGATACGAATTAGTTTAGTATTTAGAATTACGAACCGTCAACCTTCATAGGAATAAACTCACAAACTATATAATTAGAAATGCTAATAGACTTGTAAACCATGGATGACACAGTCACAGACCGAGACCAGGATACAGGATTTCAGGAACAAAATACAAATGGTCAATGGGTGACAACTGACAAATAAAAGTCATAACATTCATAGACTAGACAGTAGATAATCTAGGTCATAGATTAATATTAACAATTAATAATTCATAACATTTATCTATGGTCAAGTAGGAAAGTCACAAATTGTTTTCAAATTCTCAACAAAAAGGCAATAACAAAATATGAAAGTTCTAAAGTTAGAGCACGACAATATTTTAAGTTATGAACATCTAATAGGTAAATATATATTTTACGTATCGAAATATATTAGTTTTGCTTTGCATCGGCTGGCACCGACTTCGAAAATATCTGATTAGGTATCTATTTCAAATGAAAACCTCAGTTTAGTTATTTCTTACATTTTAGTGCCTGGAAGTCGGTTTTTATTATTTTTTTAAAGTTTTTATATTTCACTTGCTATCATTAACAATCTAATCTATAAAATATCAATTAGGTATATGAAAAAGATAGATTAATCAGATAGGTGAGATTTTCTTTCGATTTCAAAAGATATTATTTCATTTAAGATACAAAGAATTTTTATTTATGTAGAAGGGTTTGAAACAGAAAAGTGTATATATAGTAATTCAAAATGCATAGGTTAGTTTTGTTTTTTTTCGTCGTAATTTCAATAGTGGAAGGTAAGCTATGGTTTTAAAAATTAAAATGAAGATGATTTAGTTTATTTACAAAATTACATTTAATTTATTTTTGTGTGTTCAAAAATAAATCCTTGCATGAAAGTGTAGGTAGCATGCAGCGAATAGTCGGTGGTAACAAAACTCCGGAAGAATATGGCAAATTTCATGTGTCTCTCCAGAATATCACTGGATATCATGTATGTGGTGGAGCCATTATATCTCATAAGTACTTGGTGACTGCTGCACATTGTGTATTTGGGTGAGTCAGTTTTCATGAAGTGAAACAAAAAGCAGCTTCAGTAGTCATACTTAAGCAACTTGATATTTATTTTTTGCTAGTTTTTTTTTATTTTACCTGCCTTATGAAAATCAGTATTTGCCTAATGAAGTAATACTTTCAGAGCTCAGGCAAAATATATAAAAGTTGTAGTTGGCACTACTAATTTAGACAAGGGTGGTTTAGAGCACGACGTAAAAACTATTCACGTCCACGATAATTACGACCGCAATCTCAGATTAAACGATATTGCTGTACTAGAAATCAACGGTTTATTTGATTTGCTAAAAGTAGAGATGTTAAGACTTTATGATAATAAATTGAAAGAAGGCGAAACAGTTCTCACAACAGGTTTTGGTGCTAATGAGGTAAAGTTCAATGAATAATAAGCCTTTTTGTACAAAAATAAAAGATATTTCTAATATTACGTATTTAATGTTACAGCCACACGGAGACTCAGCTAGAAGGATGCAGGCGTTAAATTTAACAGTGTTTAGTCAAGAGACGTGTATATACGCAATGCGATATACGAGAAAGGTGTATGACAGCATGTTCTGTACATTTACAAGAATAGGTCAAGGCACATGTCACGTAAGTTGACAAATAAATCCCAAATTGAACCGCCACTAGGACTACCATGTACAGTGGTACACCTGTCGCTACAGACCATGGGTTCGAGTCCCGGGTTGGGACAAAATAGTATTTACCATTTCCACTGGATTAACAATGGAAATGAAGAAAATGCATTTGAACACCTTAATATCTCCTGCGCATCTGGATAATTCCAGAAAAGCGTCGTAATTGGAGGATTTATAATAATATTTCTTTGGCATACAAGTTATAGCTATTCTTTTATTTTAAAATTTAATTTTAGGGCGATTCTGGTGGACCATTGACAATAGGAAATAAATTGGTTGGTGTTATTTCTTGGGGGATACCATGTGGAGTAGGATTTCCAGATGTTCATACAAGAATTTCACCGTATATTCAATGGATTCGCAGCATTATAGACCAAAAAGTTTGCAATTCTTGTTGAATACGTCAAAATAAAACATCCGTTAATAAGTACGTGAGATAATAATAAAAAAGGAAAGAAATAAGTACAATTACATTTCATTATCTCTTTATTCTTAGATTATCTTTGTAAGACGGATATAATTATAGAAAAGATATAAATTTCTTTATTTTATTAAGATTAATCTGAAATAAATATTATAATTGTACACTAAAATAATTCATTTTACGCAGAGACGTCATTTCATAAAATTCATCAATAAAAATTTGAAAAACAAAAACCATTTTACCGTGTATTTTGTTTTATTGTCTACGAGTTCCAGAAGAACAGCTATTACAGGCCGGCCATGAGCACATTGAAAAGGAGTTTTGCATTCCGAAAGAGCATTTATCATATTGACGCAGTCGTTTTTTGATAATTTATCCCCAAATTTAATAGCATATCTACAGGCCTATAAAGACAAAAAAGTTTAAAAAATGACGATCGACTGTAAATCGAATAATCTTCTGCTATCTGAATCGGTAAAAAAAAATTTTTAACAAAGTTTTTTGACGATTGTTTTCTTTATTCTAATGAGTTCCAAAATAAAATATAAGGAAAAAACCAGATATAAAAAACATATCTCACCTCACTAAAAACTAAATTCATTATTGATTTCGGGTATGAGGACACGTTACCTTTAAGCAATTTAATTAATTCTATTTGTTCTGAGATCAATTTTTTTACTGCTTTTATAACAATTTCAACCTATAATATTAAAAAAATATATTTAATGATTGGTTTATTTTATACCATTTTAAGAATTCTTAGAGACATTTTCCTACGCAAGCTGGCATTAGCATTTATTTTCACAAAGGTTCTATCTTTCATTTATTATACCTAATGCTTTTATAATGTAGGCCTGCATAAAAACTCAGATGTAGGTACATTATAATATTATTTTTTTAGTATTAGAGACATATTTTTAAAGCAGTAGATTACAAGGCGAAAGGAATAATATTTCACGGAATTACAATTCTGTATATTTTTTTTATCAAACAATGTGTTATCGATGCTTCGAAGAAAAAAAATATGCTGCGAAATTTATACATAGGTACTTTATATGTAGACAATATAATACTCACGTCCCTAATATTTTTTCCAAGAATTGCTGTAGGAATTGCATGAATCAGAATTTCGTTGTCTGCAAACGTCCATCGCAAACCAAAGTGGTAAAATTTTTCCTTTTGGTTATAAAGATAGAAATAATCATCTTTATTTAGTTTATACCTTATGACAGAATCAATTGAAGCACTTTTCCATTCATTGCCATTATAGTAATCTATATACATAAAAAAAAAGTCACAAGATCGATAAATCTATTGTAAGTAATCCTCAATGACTGCTTTTATCTCCATTAAACCATTTCTACGTGACATTGGCGAAGTAAATTATACCCAACTGGCTCTAACCGTGCCAAAGACAAAAGACAAAAGCAGACTCCTAGCGTTGGCCTATAATTATCTACATTAATATTATAAAAAGGTAAAGTTTGTAAGTTTGTGTGTAATCAAGTTAAAAAAAAGTAAAATTCTCATCAGTATCATCAGATTTGTATATCTTTGAATATATTGCTCCGGTGATACTGATGAAAATTCTTTCACTATTAGGAAGTTAGATATTATTAGGAATTTAGAGTTATATTACAGCCGAGATAAATAAATATTTAGTGTTAGAAATCATAATAACTTTAAGTCAGAAAATAATGGCTATTGAGTTACTTTATGGGCTATTGTTAGGCACCTAGGGACGCGCTCGAGCGAAGTGAAGGCAGTTGCTATTTTAAATATAAAAAAAATAGAAACGAAGCTTACCATTACATTTGTAAAGAAATTAGAATAAAATGAGTATTAAATAGCTTAAAATATATTACCTTTTAAATTAGTTTCAAGTCTTACTCTTTCGTCAACAGCATGTTGGTCAAAGAGCACTAAAAAATTTGAAAATTTACCGTTTTTTGACGTTCTACCTTGTACTATAGCTACTATAAATTTTCTATCCACCTGTCCTAAAACCTAAAATCAATTTGATAATCACAGTTTTTTCACCAAAAAATGAATACGGAAACCAACTAAAAAAGAACATATTATGACTATAATTACTGTAGCATGTTTCAATGAGGTTGCATTAAACATCAAATTAGTGTTATCCTTGTTGAATTTATCACTAGCCTTTTTAATATGCTTTGTGACGGTATCTTTAACATTCTCAACATCTGGTTCATAAATCTTGAAATTACCGAGCACGTCTTTAGCGAAATTTTGGTAAATATCCTAAAATACAATTTTAAAGTTATGAAAATTGATGGTAGATATAAGAAAACCATACTGTTGTATTATTTGCTCTTACATCCTCATAGTATTCTTGTTGGTCGTCATAAGGACGTGAAGTTTTGCTATTAATGTTAATGTTGCTGTTAATGTTGAAAATTTGGGACATTCCTGAAATTATTCAATAATTGTGGTGTTATTTTTTATATAACTATTTAACATATATCGATTATTATTAAAATGCACCTTTAGGAACGAAGCTATGGCGTCCTTTCAGTTTAAAATTATCCATATTTTCAGAATCTATTCCAATGGTATTTTCTATAACTTTATCGTTTTCTACTGTATTTACCTTTACTGTATTCTTATTTATACAGTTGTCTTTCTCATCCATATTAGTTATAACTTGGTCATCGATATTTCGATTAGCATCAAACTCCATAAAATTTAATTCAATTTTATTAAAATCTTCGTTAAATGCAAAATCGATACTATTAAAATCCTCTATAAGCCCGTTATTCAATAACGAATCGTTAGCTTTATTTCTATCCAATAGATTTTCTTCTATTACGTCCTTATTTAAAAAGCTTGTGTTGAACTCTTTCTCAATATCATCTAAGTTATTAGTATGGAACATGGTTTCACAGTAATTCAAAGGTTCTAAAGTTTGGGAATCTGATATTATAATATTATCCTTTCTATAACTGTGACTTTTGCTAAAGTCAAATTTTTCATTTTGATTAGGCGATATTGGAGACTTTCTACATTGGGTTCTATATGTCGAGTAGTTGTATTTTTGTATTGAGTAAGTGTTACTGAATTTACTATTATTTGTAAAAAGTGAAGAACTTAATACGTCAATAGTATAAGTGTTTGCATAATTAAAATCAGTGCTATATGTATATTTGTTATCTTTTGAAATTTCTCTCGATCTAGATTCCTTATCAATATGAAAGGTATCAGTAAAATATTTATTGTCTTGGGGTGTGTTAATGTTAGAACATATAGTTCGTTCATTGCTTTTTAGTTCATTAGTGTTCGATGGTACATGAGCACTTTCATTTAAAATTTCTAAGGTATTTTTAGATATTTTTTTATTATTTTCCTTGTATTTCATTCTATTTTTATGTATAGGATTTAGTTTGTGTTCATGTAACAAAAAGTTTTTACGTGAATTCGTACTTATAAATTCTTTCATTACATTTTTCTTCAATTCAAAATTTTGATGATAGTTATGACTTTTAAAAGTTGATTTAGATATTAATGTTTCACATGTGGTAAAATCTAAAAACAGAAGTTTATAAAAAAATAATTATAAAAATTGAAAATAACGACTACGAAAACATCGAACAATATAAATGGAAAAATATTTTCTTTTACTTCTTTTTTCATTAATTATAGCTTATTTTTAATTTTTCGTAATATTTTTATGGCCTATAACACTCGCGTTATCATTTATCAAGATGTCTAACGACGTATGCATCATCAAAATCGGTTAAGCCGTTAAGTACGAGGATTCCCTCGTCATACATGTATAGATATGATAGGGTCGAACATACATGCACACAATTCTAACACGTAACCCTCCTTTGGGCTTCGCCGCAGTTGGGTAACAAAAAATACTAATAACAAACCAATTTCCTTACACGACTGAGTTTGTTGTTGAACAACAAAATGTTGTTTTTTAGGCATGACTGGTGAAACATAATCTGTAATAGGTTTGATGAGATCATACGATGTTTTAAAGTCTCTTTCATATTTTACAATGTCATTGTTTTCTAAAATATCTTCAACATATGGTAAATTTATTTTTTTGAAAATATTTTTATCATAAACATTTTTATACTTAACACTCTGGTCTGAATCCTTTTTGAAGATTTTTTTATGTTTAATTCTTTTTGGCTTATGTAGACTTTCATCATATCTATTTTTAATATATTTTTGTTTATTTTTTTTTAGCTTCTTTGGGATAGTCTGTTGTTCAACATTCTTAGTTTTCATTTTATTTTGAGATTTATTTCCATTACTAACTTTAATACTCTTAGCATTAATATTTGTAATAATTTTATTTTCATGATTTTCTATTGTTATTTTTCTTTTGGGGTCTACCACTTTAGATAAATCTATTACATTATTTAGTTTATTCATCTTCTTTATATTTATAACATCATGTAATAAAATGTCAGTCTTTCTTTTCCTTTTCACATTCTTACCTGAATTTTTATTTATTAATACATTATAATCTATACATATAATAAAATTCTAACTGAGTCAGGAGGGAAAATCTTATTGAAATAGTTATTATTATCGATACAGACTCCGAATCTATAGCTTTTAGAATTTTTGTCTGTCTTTCTGTCTGGGAATGCATCACGAGAAAACCACTACACAGATTTTGATGAAATTTGGTATCATTATAGCTGGTTATCCGAGTCAACATATAGGATACTTTTTACTGCGGAAAAATGTATCATCTCTGAGAAATCTATCTAACCGTTAAAACGTATCTAGGGTCAAACCCGAGCGGAGCAAGATTGAGTCATTAGCTATTAACAATTATAAACTACATAATAATATGATGAGATAAAATTAGTTAATCTTTACCTTTTATACCTTTTTTTAGTTGTGAGATTTTAGGTTTATAAGTATTTTTATTTAATATCTTTTCCATAATTTCTTTGACTTTCTTTCTTGTACTGCTATTTTCATTATCTTCTGCTTTATTTGTGCCTTTATAGATATTCACAGGCTTTAAATTTACATCTCCCGAATAAAATTTTAACAATTTTTCAATGAGTTTGTTGACTTCTTGCCAATTTTTGAATTCAACAAATGTTTTTTGACGTTGATACACAATATCAAAATCAAAGTTTGGACATGATAGAAAAATAAAGTAAAATGGAATATTATTGTTATGAATGCTGTGTTCATCTGTAAATATATTCTAGCAAAAAATAAAAATTATTATAAGCAGAATTATTAAGAAAGTTAATTAATATTGGTATTTATTTAGAAATGTAAATACTACACCTTATTTTTAATATTTTTATAATTATTTTTATTTAACATATTATTCAAAGTATTATTTAATTTTTTGTGTAAACTAGTTTTGAATACAATCTTGCCATTTAAGTAAATCCACTGATATTTCTTTACATCATCTTTATGGTTTCCCATAAATGCTCTAACTTTGTACTGTTTTTTTTCTACTTGGAGATCTTGGACATCATGTTGTTGTATTCCAAATAAAGACTTAAGAGTTTGGTAAATATCTCTATTTTTGTTTACTTTAAATATGATTTCATTTTTAGAATCATCCCTTAAACTAATTGATACATTGCAATGCACTAATGATAATTGCTCTAAACCTAACTTTATGTACTGTAATTCTTTTAAGGGGTCAATAGATTTGTGTTGAATAACCAAATTATATAAGAATCCAAAAATCTCTACCTAAAATAAATATAATATTAAAATAAAACATGAATCTTCTGAAGTACATAGAACAATTAAATAAGAATATATATAAGTATTTTTTATACAACTATTAAGTACAAAAAGCTTTTATAACTTACAGTTGTACCGCTAGATGGCCTTGTGACACAAATACTAAAGTCTACCTCTTTGCCATTAGAAAATGTTTTCATCCATGTTTTATTAGAAGTGTGAAATTTTGAAGATATTTTCACCATTTGTGATATTTCAATGATGCTTGCCAAAGTTATGCCTCGGTAACCATATTTATCAGGGGCAGATTTCAGTGTTGTAATATCAAGATATTTACTAGATGTATATTTATTCCCTAAGAGAGCGAAATTATGCTTTGCTATACCACTACCATTATCTAATACTTGAATAAAGTTTTCTTGAATATTAACTCTAATTGCAATTGAATTGGATTCTGCATCAAGAGAATTAAACACCTAAAAATTTATTAAAATTATCATCAGATACTTTAAAAAGAATCAAAAGACATTCATTTTTTCATATTTACCAGCTCTTCAATTGCTCTTTTATAACTATTTATGTAAACAGATGCAGATAACAAGCTTTGATGGTCTTTTGGTATTTTCTTTATAATCATGAAGTCGTTTGATTTCATTTTAAACGTTGATTTTTCTATAACTACCTTCGTTATTTGTGACAACTGACAAGTGTAATCTAATATTATTATTTATTCTTATTTTTATACGATAACATCTTAAGATCCTAGCACATAAATAACACGTTAATCTTGCAAAATACTAGTTTTAGTACATTATTGTTTTTATTGATTTTGAAATTACAGATGAGATGAGAGATATTGGAATATAACCAAAAGTCAAAACATTATTCGTTTATATTATTATTTTATCTATGGTTTATTCGTGTAAAGGATTATAGTCAGTACAGACGCATCCTGCCGTTAATTGGTTCATAATAGCTTTCAATGGAAATGAGGAAATTTTGCCATTTTCGCCCGCCAGATGTCATGATCACTATAGCCCTCAGTATATTGTAAAGCTCTATAGCTTGGATGGGTTTTTTTTATTTAAAATTTAATTAAAATGACAATTTTGTAGCACCAGGATGCAAAGTAAATAGATATCGTTTGTTCCCAAAAGACAAAAACTGAAGAAATTGTGGCTATAGCAATAAGACGAACAAATTTGGAGAAATCACAATCCTCATACTTAAGTCTATGTGGACATAATTTTGAAGAAAGTGATTTTAAAACTCTTAAATCGTCTACAGACTTTTTCTTTCTACGATATACAATTTGACGTGGACTTTATTTGTTTGTTTTTTTGTTTGTTCTTTTTTCACGTCAAAATAAAGTGCCAGATTGTAGTGGTTTTTTTTTGTGTGAAAATAGAGGGCTGGAGAGTGACATTGACAGTTGACACTATTAATTTGCTGGCTCTGGCTGATGGCGTACGCAGTGCCTTTCAAACACTTTCAACGTTTAATCTGCTTAGATGTAATATAATCTATAAAAAATCACATCTCAGTACTGGGGTCAAAGCTACAGCAAATTGTAAAGCAAAAGAAATCAGGAGAAAAGTTAAAGCTGCCGCGCTGTACAAGATGGGATAGTTTCATTTAAAATGTCGAATATTCGCGTAAATCTAAGAAAGTATTAAAATATTATTTTTAATTTTATAGATCTTTTCGCTCAGATGAGCTCCTAGGTCCTTAACAACAGCCTATGTGGTACTCCAGCTCATAGTATACCTGTGTACTACATCCAAATCCGTCTAGCCGTTTCAGAGTGAAGGAGTAACAAACATACACACATACAAACTATCCCATATAAAATTGTAGTCCGATAAGCAAAAAAGATAATATATAACAGGGTATTTATTGTATTATTACTATAGTATGTTATTTAAAGATCTACACTTAGTTAATATTACGGCAGATATGTAAGAGTTATTTGCAGTACAAAACGCCCCTGCCGTGGCGTTAAGTGTGTGTTGTGATTTTCACCCTACGTCTAATGGATTTTCCTTGTAGATGGTGCAAGTTACAAGAATTATAATTATTACTAACTTGGGTTCGTCCCTAGGTCTATTTTTATACTTGACATAACTTTTTCATCTATGAAACGATTAAAATAAAACAAGTAAATGTTAAGTGAAGCCTTCCACGATACATCAGTGAAAACCGCACCCAAATCGGTTAATCCGTTTCTGAGATTAGCGCGCACAAACGCACAGACAAACAGATAAAAATTCTAGAAATCATTGTTTCGGGTTCCATATAAAGACTCCCAATAACAGTTTTTCTCAAATATCTGCCATGTACTGACAGCGATCAGTTACAATTTTATTCTATGTATAGATTTTAAATAACTTACATAGCTGTGGCTGCTTTATTTTTTATCGGCTGGCACCGACTTCGAAAATATTTGATTAGGTATCTATAGTAAATGAAAACTACCAATCAGTTATTTTCTACTTTTTAGTGCTTTTTTTGAAGTCGGTTTTTAATTTTTTCTTAATAAGTTTTTATTTTTCTATAGATACCGAACCACTGCACTATCAACGGAAATAGAAACACTTGCAAAGTTTCAAGTCAATATGACAATAATTTGAAGTAGGTTAAATTCATTATTAGCTATTTTTCCCACCCTTAGGGGTGTATACACAATACAATACAATATGGAAATATACACTTTCAAACAAAACAAAAATTACCCAAATCGGTTAATAAATGACGGAGTTCTGAGGTAACAAACATTTAAAAAATAGAGCCGAATTGAGAACCACCTCCTTTTTGAAGAAGTCGGTTGAAAATATTAATGATTATAATGATTAATTTCTAGAAATATTCATGATTATAGTGAAACCATTGTTATTATAAGATTGTGTTATTGTTAAAGTGAGTAAAACAATGAAGTTATCTATATTTTTAACCCCCGATGCAAAAAGAGGGGTGTTATAACTTAGAAGTTTGACGTCGACGTCTATCTGTGTGTGTGCGTGACATCGTAGCTCTGAAACGGATGGACCGATTTCGATGCGGTTTTTTCATTTGAAAGCCAGTTTCCTTGCGGTGGTTTTTGTTATTTTTTATCAAAATAAGTTTTTAATGTATATTGGCCGTCTTAAAAATAAAAGTAATAAATGTCACTCGTAGAAAAAGTCTAACTGCGTTTCAATAGGTTATGGGCCCAGTCCTATATTTTAGCCAAAATAAATAGTAAAAAGTTAGAATTATTTTGTGGAAAAGTGTAAAATGTCATCGGGTAGCTACATCATTAATGTTCCTAAACTTAAAGGGCGAGAAAATTACGATGATTGGGCTTTTGCTGTAAAAAATTTTTTAGTACTAGAAGGCATTGATCTTGATAAGCCGTCGGGACAATCAAGTACTGAGGATGATAAAAAAGGTAAAGCAAAGCTGATTATGACAATCGACCCTTCTTTATATGTGCATATAAAAAACGAAGCAACGATAAACGACTTGTGGATGAAGTTGAAACAATTATTTGACGATTCCGGATTCACAAGAAAAATTACCCTACTTCGAACACTAATATCGATACGTCTCGAAAATTGTGAATCAATGACAAGCTACGTTAATCAGTTAGTTGAGACTGCACAAAGGTTAAGAGGAACAGGGTTTGCAATAAACGACGAATGGATTGGTTCTTTATTGTTAGCGGGACTACCTGAGAAGTTTTCCCCCATGATAATGGCAATAGAGCACTCAGGTATCACGATTAATGCGGATGTTATAAAAACTAAACTACTAGATATGAGTTCTGATGTTGTTAGTAGTGAATCGAACACAGCCTTAATTTCAAAAAGGACTGACAGTAATACATCTCATTATAACGCAAAAACAAAAACGAAACCATCTGTCAAGAAAACATTTAAATGTTATGGATGTAAGCAACCTGGACATTTTAAATACCAATGTCCTGAAATGAAACAAAAGCAAGGAAACGCTTTTAGCGCTGCCTTTTTGAATGGCAATTTCAGTACAGAAGATTGGTATGTAGTTTTAAGCTATGTTTGGTCGATATCGGTCCAGCAGTGTAAGAGTATAAGCTCTATTCCAAAATGATATAAGGCATTTTGGCGTATGGTTACTCAATTAAGTGCTTCACGCGTGCCAGTGTAATCGTTAAATGATAATTTGCATAGGAGGTTTTTTAAATTTTTACTGTTTTCTTATTGTTACAATGATTAAAGTGAGGCAAAAATGTATAATTTTATTTAACTGTCAACAGTGATTGACGACAATATTCATGATCGAATGAAATTTTATTGGTATTATAGGTTTTTTGTTATTGTTAAAGTGATTATTAAAGTATGGTACAAAATCAATATTTTCAGATTTTCATTTATTTTAATCCATTCGTTTGTAAAATGACATTTACGTTAAGTAACGTAACGAATACGAGTAGGTACTGCACATAGTATTTATCTTCTGTTTTGGATAAATACTCAAGTAAAAACGGACGTTTACGAGTATTTATCCGTTTTGAGTATTTATCCGGATAAAATCCCAACACTAGTTACAGTGGTTACTTGGCTTCGCTTGGAGGGTTGCGGATACGCCGGCATGTCATTAACAATTGATTTCCCGGAAACTAACCACGGAGGCGTTTTAAAAGCGCTCCTGAATTTAATAAATTATACATATTAAAATTATGTGAATATTATAAATAAAACATTTGACATTATTAATTTCAATAAAAGGACAAATGGTAATTAATAAAAAAAGCAGAAGCAAAAAATGTTTAAATTGAAATTTTTACGAGTTTATATTTTTTATTGATTACCTATTGTGACATTAATAAAATTGAATTAAATCTATACATATAATAAAATTGTAACTTAGCCGAATTTATACATTAAATATTTTTTCGAAAATTTTACTGAAACTAACATTATTATCGATACATTATTATCAGTCTGTTACCGCATCACAGAAATATGGAGGGATTTTTATGAAATTTCGTATGGTGATAGCTGGTTATCCAGGTCAACATATAGGATACTTTTTACCGCGTGAAAATATCTCATTTCTGAGAAAAAAAACACAAAAACTGATTGTAAGAGTATACTAATATGTAAAACTTAAGAATTTGGTTTTTGGTCATCTGAACGCGGGCGGGGCCGCGTGCAATGCAAGTATAGAATAATTATACGGAACTAATTGTGAAGGAAATGTTTCTCTCCTTTAGCAAAATTAATTAAAATTTTTGAAACTGCGAGATAAAATATAATAAGAAATAAATTTTCAAGGATGTTTCCTAAATATTCTCTTAAAAAATAGGTGTTATAGCGACTGGACATGGTACCTAGTTTACTAAGCATATTTTAATCCCTCAACGACACGCCGGCGTTACAGTTAACAATAGATTTCCTAAAATTTTTAATTAATATCTTAAAAATTTACCTGGAGATGTTAATATAAATAATATAATGAAAATTTTACTTGCCTATCTATTTTCTATTATTACCGACCTATAGAGCTGTAACATTTTCATAGATATTGAACGAATATAGGTCAATAAGACAATAGTTTTACAACATTCAAAGAATCAATAGTACTTTAATAAGAAATGCGTCACAATATCAAGCTTTTCCTATAAGTAACTTTAGTAATGGACATCGATTGATTTCAACCCTGAACTATAAGGGCAGAAGTGGCAGGTGTAGGTACAACTAATAGTAACACTATGAAACTTCGTATCAACATCACGTATCTAGTTAGTTAAAAACATACTGTTTACTACAATGTATTTTATTATTTAAGCTTTCTATAAAACATCGAATGACAATGATAAAACGTTGCTATAAAAGTTAGTGTGTGCTTTTATATGGTGCTACAGATACAATAGTGTGTGTAGTCATTAATTATTTTAACAATATAAAACATTAAAGTGATAAATGTCAATAAATAAAAGATATTTTTCAATTTTAAATATGATGAATGTTAGCTTGGAAGAGGAGATCAGACTTTTTTGGGAGTACGTGAAACGGTAAGTAATTTCACTGTTTCGAATACGTTATGTTATAATTTTATTATTATTTATATATACAACTAGCGACTCACCCTTGTTTTGCTGGGGTTCGTCCTTAGGTACGTTTTACCGGTCAGTATGAAATACAAATCTTTGAATTTTTCGGCTTTTCTGTGCTATAATATGCATGTATTATACATATAAACCTTCCTCTTAAATCACTCTATCTATTGCTGAAAATTAAATTAAAATCTGTTGAGTAGTTTGAAAGATCTAAACAAACAGACAGCGGAAGCGACTTCATTTTATACTATGTAAAGATACAGTTAGGAAAGGACTTCCGCTAAAATTATTTTAAGCCAAGCTTACTTGTTTATTTACACAATTTTTGCACGTTGCTAAGCTTGACAAACACTACCTATGGATGAAGGAAGGCACCCCCCTCGATTAGTTAATGCATAAGGTAATCTATCACCTATGAAGCTTTAATCTAGAACGATCTATAATAGCATGATAGCGATATCGTTGTCAATACTTTTATTTTATTTTTATATGTGCTCTATGTTTCGATAAATAATAATAAAGATAATTATTATTTATCGTAGTAATAAATTGTGCTTTAAAACAAAATATGATACTATTTTAAAGTACACATTTACTTTCTCTAAATTGCTATTACTCATGTTACTTTTAAAATAACATTTATCTTTATTACTGTTGCTTAAGAAAAGTTAATTATGGTAAAGAGGCTGATAAGATTTCTGTTCCATTATTTTTAAGATTCTTTTAAAATATGTTGACAAAGAGAAAGAAAAAACACATAGATTATTTTAGTTTCTATTATGCTGATGATTGATTGTAGAATGTATGTAATGCCGAAATAGTAACTGTATAGTTATGTATATACCTACAAAATATGATTAGTAATTTTAATATTTATTTGAATGCTACAGAACCGATTTACATGAAATTTGGTAAGAAGATAGTTGGAGACCCTGGGAAGGACATAGAATACTTTTTATTTCGGAAATCATCCATTAAGGGGGTAAAAATGGGGATGAAATTTTGTACAGGGACGAACCCGAGCGAAGCGAGGGTGTGTCATAGTTATCAATAAAATAAAAGTTAAGATTGCAGACAAAAAGGTGCATTAGTTGTACCTCTGTGACACTTGTTTCATTGAAATGAGATCTGCTCTGTTGGTGATACATAATCTGTTTTATATGAATATATTACAGGTCTATTATTTGGATAAATATATTCAAGGTTTAATCCCTGAGACTGCTGTATCGTTTTTATATGTACTCTTATAAATAAAATAACGAACCGAGCGAAGACAAGTATACAAAGATTAAAGTAATAAAATTATACCAATGTTTTGTTGTTTTATAAACTACTAGCAGAACCCGCGACTTCGCTTGCGCTAAAACTACAACAAAATCTCTAAAAAGACAGTTTCAAACAAACTTTCATCCCCTATTTTACCACCTTATGGGATGAATTTGGAAAAATTCTAAAATACGTATTAATTTAATTTTATTGAAGAGCATTAATACCAAGTTTCAAGTAATTCTGATTATAAATATTTTTTGGATCGTATTATAACGTGTTTTCCCGTGGAAATTAGATGTTCTCCCTCGGTAAAAAGTCTCTCACTCTCCAGCCCTCCAACTATCTCCACACAAAAAATCACGCCAATCCGTCACTCCGTTTTGACGTGAAAGAAGGACAAACAAACAAACAAACAAACAAACACACAAAACAAACACACTCTACAATATTTTATATTATTTTATATTTATATTCACATATTAGTAAGGACTAACGACTTACCTTCGGCTCGCTTGGGTGCGTCCCTACTTTTTTTTGCGCGGAATCCTAACTCTTTTTCTAAAATAAAAGTTACTCCTTATAACATCTGCTATCTGCCAGTGAATGCCAATCCTATTAAAATCGGCCCAGCCATTTCGGAGATTAGCCGGAAAAATTAGACAGACAATAATAAAAAATGATTTTTTGAATAATATGTATCGTATGCGTATATATTATAATCTCATATGCATTTAGAAAAAACCTGTTATTTTAACATTACAAACAGACACTTCAATTTTATTTATTTGTATAGATTGTGTTATAAGTAAGTATGCTTGATGGGATATAGAACGAATTAAAGATCTTTGTTAGTGTAGTTTAACTAAAAATAATTTCAAGTACAAAGCTAAAAGTACCTACACTTTTTAATATAGTCGAGTTCCGTGTTAATTCCCTTTATGTAGAGACGAAGTAAGTGTCATAGCACAGACGGTAGTAGGTAATATTTTTATTAGTATTTAAATTCTTCAGATGTAAACAAGTTGACCAAATAAATAGGCCAAAACCAATCTTGTTTACATTTACAATGTAAATAGCTATTATGATAACAGAATTTAATTATGTATTTTTATTAGGTTAATATACATATGTACTTTGTACGATACACAAACATGTCTATAAATTTAAATTAGATAAAAGAAAACAATATTTATGTAAGAAAACAATTCTTATTATTCATGAGTATGTTTTAAATCATAACATAATGATTAAAATATTTATTAAAATAGCCTAGCCGGAGTTTGCACTAGGCAGAGACTCTTAATAAAAAATATATAATATATGGCACGTTTTTACTTATCATCTAAAACTTCCACTGTAGACGCACTGCTGGCATTATCATTATTTTTTTCTTCCATTTGTTCTGCAGCAATTTCTACTTGACCACTAGTTTTGCTTACGTTGACATCGAGAGACTCGGTCTTTAAACTACTTATGCGCTCTTGATTGTCCTCCGACGGCTGTACATCCGCTTGACTTATTTTCATCTTTTTACTCTTAGAATTTCCCATTTTAGGTCCTGAATGAAGCCGATCTCATATATGACTGCTTGTTGATATTATGGTGTATGTTCCACTAAGATAAAATCTTGATAACGGTCAAATCTATATAATGAACAACACTTCGTGGGCCGGTGACGTTATTTTGATAAGAGAATGCCAGTGTACCGCGAACTCACAATGCAAAATTGCAACTGGTGTAAATATTTAGTGAAAACATATGGTATCACAACGCTCAAGATAAGGCACAGAATGTTATTTTTAACAAGTTAATATTAATTATATTTTCGCTCAATGCTAAACATTCGAGTGTTCAAATACGTTTAAAGCTGATATAGTAACTTCACTAATAAATGTGACTCAAGGGAACGTTATTAATACATATTTTGTCCTTTTCGCGCTTAGTCAAATATCATATATGTGTAATAATGAAAAACCGCAATCAAAATAACAAGTAATTCAAGTGACGGTGTATAGTTTCCGATAGACTTTAACATATTAAATACTTATAGAATGGCGCCTAGAATAAATAATATGTTAACAAATGTTAATATACTTTATATTAGAAGCAACAGTTAAGTAGAGTCATTTAAATTCATGTGCCTGGTGCTTTGTGTGTTCATGAGTCACTGAGACGAAAATAATTCCTCTTGTAGTGACATCACAATTGTATTATGCGGGGTTATTTATACTGGAGTATAGTGTTTTATGTATATGGTTATATGCTACTTTAACAAAGACCCATATATGAATATATTAATATTAAAATACAGTTTTTGTATTATATATCTATACTACAATAATAAAAATATTTAATGTACAGATTTGGCTCAGTTACAATTTTATTATATGTACTAGCGGCTCACCCTCGCTTCGCTCGGGTTCGCCTCTAGAAAAACACTAATAGAGATCTATTAGTTCCCACGGGAACCGTTTATTTTTCCGGGATGAAAAGTAACCTATTTGTTATTCTGATATATGACCTATATTATTGTAAAGTTTCATCAAAATCCAATCAGTAGTTTATGTGCACTAAGCTGTATAAGTTACTATAGTTTTTTGACCATCCCACGGGAACTCTTTAATTTTCCGAGATGAAAAGTAGCCGATTTATTATTGTCATGTATGAACTATATTATTGTAAAGTTTTATTAAAATCCATACAGTAGTTTTTGTGTACTAAGCTGTATAAGTTAATATAGTTTTTTAACTATCCAACGGGAACTATTTAATTTTCCGGGATAAAAAGTATCTAAAATGTTGCCCGGGGATATAAGGTATCACGTTGCAAAATTTCATTTAAATCGGTCCAATAGATTCGGAGATTAGCCCGTACAAACAGACAAACAGAGAAACAAGAAATTTGAAAAAAATCTGGATTTGTTCTATTTGTCTTCTTACATCCCCCTGACTCGGTTTTTAACATTTTTTTTGCTATGTACAGACATTCGACCTCTACTCTTTTATTATAGTATAGATACATAATTCAACCCCTTAAACGATTTTACTGTAGGTTACTTCCTCAGATGGTTCCCACCATACGCTGGAAGGAGTAATACGGCTTTTCAAACTATACATTTGTTTCGAAAAAAAGTTTTTTAATGTTATATTTATTTAATACTTTCTTAGATTTACGCGAATGTTTGACATTATTAAATAAAACTACCTTTTCGGATTATTTCGCGGATTTATTTTGATTTTTGGTTCCCGACGTTTCGAAGTCTCTCCCGTGACCATGGATGCTGTAAAGCATTCGAAACGTCGGGAACCAAAAATCAAAATAAATCCGCGAAATAATCCGAAAAGATAGTTTTATTTAATAATGTTATATTTATTTGTTGAAAATGATTCCTATATGAAAATCTCAAAGGTGGCGGGTGAGACACGAGTTTTATTTCGGGTTTCAATTTAATAATAATAAATTAATTAATTTATTCAAGTAACAGTGACTCACTTTGTTAGTATTACAAAAATTAGCAATCGTTAATTACTTTAGGTAATTATTGTTCATTGATCCAGTATTTTAGATAAGGTATATGTATTTTGAAATAATTTAAATGGTATATTATAGTAATTATAATAATGGCCACCCCGTAATAATAAGTAGTTTAACTTGGTTATGGTATTTTAATTTTTAATGAATATTTAACTATTGAATCGATATTCGAGATTCAAGAACATTGAAACAAAAATAACGCGTGTTATAAAATATATTATGTATAAACAATTAGTTTAGCACAACCAAATTTTGAGGAAAGCATTAAAATTTTAATCTTAATGGCCGCTATTTATACGACGAACGTGTCATTGCAAGCATTGACTAATGGAAATATTACTGTTGATGTGATGACACAATGTTCTATTAATGATGTCCTACGTCTTCTTATTAATAAATTTTTCGGGATTATTGGGTGCATCCTAATCATAAAAATTGAATCAAAAATTAACTTCAATAGGTACTGTACTTATTTTGTAACATTACTAAAATATATTCATATCAAATATTAATACACATCACGCTTAAAAAAAGTTTAATCAATTAGAAAATTGTGTAAAAAATATTAAAGAATAAAAAAGACAATAAATCAAGATCATCAACTTAGTCCGCTGAATTTCTAAGCCGTAGGCGGGGCATATTGTTCGTAGAACGGTAAGTCGATGGGGAAGAAGTGTTTTGAGTGGCGACCGCCTACCGAAAGGCGATCTTCCAAAAGATGGACCAAAGCTTAAGGCTTAAGGTCGAAAGACTTGCCTGGAACAGAGTGCACAAGATTAGTTCATGAGAATACTTAGGAAAGACCTATATAAGTAAAGATCTTTATGTCCGGCAGTAGATATTTTTCAACTAACATTATGATTAGAAATAAAAAAATATTTGAAATAGAACCAAAATATTTACTCACCTCTTATACTCGTAGCTTACAAATAAAACTGAATTGACTTACTTCTAGTAAGTATTTATCTGGTAAATGTACCTTGATCTCATTTCCTATTTTAATATCTTCTTTATTCATTATTTTACTGTACTACAAAAATTATTATCATTACTTATAGCAGGTAACTAAGTTTTACCAATATAAATGAAAAAAAGAGAATGCAAAATGTCATAGCACATTCCGAAGATTTGACGAATATCTTATCTTTTTGCTATAACGGAAGGCTTTCTTTGTTTTTAAACAATGTTCTGGAGATAACTTCATAGAAATATTCCTTTAAAATTTTCTATATATAGTTAAACTGAATGGGTCACTTCATTAGTCCTGTTCAGGATTTAGTGGAGCAAGGACCAGAAAAGTACAAAGTAAGTGAATTTTCACCAATTTTATAATGTTGTTCCTAAGAACTGACAATAAGAAAGCTATTCTCAAGTACGAGACAAGAACAACTGTGCGTAAATCTTTATTATTCTATTACCTAACAAGTTATAATATCGTTCTTTTTCAGATGTTTAAGGTTACAGTATTCTTAATGGCAATATTTTCAGCTTTATGCGCTGAGATACCGTCTGCTATCTCTTTAGAGTCTACTTTCAAACCTGATGTCGCAGAACGAATTGAAACTCATCCTATATATCAAAAACAGGTGATATCTGAAGAAAATCATCCTATATATAGAGGGGAAGAACATAGGAATATAGGGCGCGTCAGAGTGGAACCAGTAAGATCCCTAGGGAATATTGTGAAACATGATATGTTGTCTGACGAGCCTGCTCCATCAGTGGCCACTGAGGTTAATAGAATCGTAAGTATAAAATATAATCGGTATACATACAGTATATATATATTTATTATCTTTGTATGCACATATATGCTAATATTATAAAGAGGTTAAGTTTGTGAGTTTGTGAGATTGTGAGTTTGTGATGTTTATGTTGTATGGGGTAATCTCTGGATCTACTGAACCGATTTAGATGAAATTTGGTAAGAAGATAGTTTAAGACCCTGGGAAGGACTAGAATACTTTTTATCCCGAAAATCAACCATTAAAGGGATGAAAGTTTGTATTGAGTGAGTGAGTCGCTAGTTTGTTTATAAAATAACTTTGCAAGAGTTTGTTGATTTTTCAAGTTATACATCATGATTGTGTTTTATTTTGATTTAATGTATAGAAATTGACTTATTGAGTTAAAATAATATTATCTAAACATTTATATAGGACGAAAATTTCGGTTTCTCTGGACCGATGGAAGTTGCTTACCCTGATATACCTTACGCGCCTGGATACGGTTATGGATATGCATCACCGAATAAGTAAGACTAAGAATTTTAAACTTTCTTTTTTTATCGAATTATTAGATTTTCTTAATAAACGCTATAATCATCATCTAATTATTTTTGATGAAATAAGAACCCTTAAAAGCTATTTTCATAATATGTATAGAGTCTTAATACATTTGTTAGCGTACATTTTAATAAACAATATTTATTATATTACAGTTACGATGTTTACGGTAGTAGCCCTGCTGATTATTATATGGAACCTGACACGTCTACTTTTGGCCTGCTTTGGAGTCAAGTGCCTGATGCTAGAGTAAGTTACATAATTGTATCTTAAAATTTTACTAAAATTTTGGTATTGTATTGACGTATCGATTTTATTAGTTTCTAAGCGAACTTTCCTTTAACATGGAATATTGTTAAACAACAGAAAGTTTTTTAATGTGTATAATATTATCTTCTCATTATTAATACTAATTAGATATTTTCTTCTAGACCATGGTGAATTATGCGGGAAAGACTTTTAGTTGGATATTGAGTAGTGTATTCGTTTTATTACTTGGTTCATTCCTCACTGTTGGATTCTGTACTTACACAAATCTATGTAAGATAACGATCAATGGAGTCGGGCCCATACACGAGGAGATGAGAGCCCTAATGACCCCTGAGAGATTGGAAAAAATCAGTACCGCAGCGAACTTTGTGAAAACTGCTATCGATAAATACCAAAAGATTCAACGTGTGCCGGAACCGGGCACGAGAAAACGACGTGCGATTGTGTAATAATTATAAAAGCGCTTATAATTATAAAATTTTAAAAATAAAGATCTCTAGATACTGACTTTAATTATTGTGTATTAATATTATTATTTGAATAGTACAATTTTCTAATTTGTATAAAACAGGAAATCTAAATTAATACTTTAATAAGATTTTGTATTTTTAAAGATTCCACTTTCAGTTTTTATACACAATATACTTAATAATGACGAGAAGAAATACCTGTCTTTGTTAATTTGATAACTCCCATGGCATATCACATCATAGTTAATTCTTATTTATATAAAGATCACAGTCTACGAGACATTGAAAAATGAATTACCTACTGTTATTAAATAAATTGTTAGTTAAATAAAGTAACATATTTTGTATGTTACATTCAGTAAAAGAGATAATAAGTGGTGATACGATTTTAAATATTGTTTACATCTGTATAAATGACACGTACCTAGTTATACATGTTTACGCTCATTATGTATGTATATGATATCATTAATAGCTTTGGTCTAAAAATATAAAATGATTATAAGGTTAATGCTAAAGCAACATAATTCGTGACAATTTGACGATTAGATTGATACTTCATATTTCATTCTTCATACTTCGAGTTCGATGTCGTATACAAGGGACTAGAATCTTAATGGAAACTTATTATTAAGCTTCTACATACTGTTGTATTTACTTACTACATTTGAAGTATATATTATCTAGCATTATTATCTTTTTATGGTACAGGACCAGTATTTTTTTTTACTTATGCACATTATGTTATTGTAGATTTGGCAGACTGTATATTTTCCATTCAATAATAATATGTAATAGATATAATTTTTTAGTGTCGTCAAAATCTTACTTCACTGCAGAAAAATCTGGACAAGTGCCAGTCGGACTCGCCCACCGAGCGTTCCCAACAAATTTGTAGGAAATCTGTTTAATTTTAAACTACTTTTATTTTTGGAATTTTTCCTTTATTTGTGCTGTTTTAGACCTTGCTTTTTACCAAATTTCGTAATTCTAGGTCAACGGGAACTACCATATAGGTTTTCGACCCAAAACCTATAGGGTACTTCCGGTTTACCTAGAATTGTCAATTTTGGTTAAAACAAGGTCTTACAGCACAAGTAAAGGGAAAATTCCGAAAAATAAAAAGTTGAAAATTAAGGTAAATTTTGGTATTTACAAGTTTTCGCGAAAATCTAAATTTACCCATACGTTTTTATCGTGTTGACTCAGGACCTCGATTTTTATACAACTAATAGGGATTACAGACCTCAGTATCTGGTATAAATTTCAACTTGCTAAGTCCACCCGTTCCTGAGAAAATCGGTGGTGACACACGGACAGACAGACAGATGGATAGACGGACAAGAGAGTGATCTTATTAGGGTTCCTTTTTTACCTTTTGAGATACGGAACCCAAAAAATTACTAACATACGGTAAGAGCCAATCTCGTATTACAAAAAGCTAAAGTAAAACTAAATAATAAAAATCAATATAAGTATAAGGCCCTGTGTTTTTGGGCAGTATGTATATTGTATATAATAGGCACATGCATACGTAGATACATATTATATGTATGAATGGTGTACTGGATACGGAACTTTCCATGCGAGAATTCGTTTTGTTTTTATTTATCGATGATGGTCACTAATTAAATCGACTCCAATTTTCATGATAAAGAATTCGTGATATTTATTAGTTTTTTATTACAAAAATAATAAGAGTCAATTATATAACCATATCAAATAAATCTATATATATAAAAGAAAGTCGTGTTAGTTACTTCGCTTATAACTCAAGAACGGCTGAACCGATTTAGCTGAAAATTGGCAGGGAGGTAGTTTAGAGCCAGGAGAAGGACATAGGATACTTTTTATCCCGTTCGACCGCGTTCCAATTTTTATGATATTTTAATTTTTGGATTTCTCTTAGTCCGGAATAGGTAAGTATTAAAACATATAATTAAAATGTGAGAAAGAAAGATTTTTTCTTTTTATATCTATTTAAAACGTACCTAGCGACGAACCCGAGCGAAGCGAGGGTGAGCCGCTAGTAATAGATAAATCTACGTGAGAAAAATAAAGTAGATAATAATTATTATATATACATATATGTACATATATATAAAGCGATAGAAATTTGGTTTACAAATTTAAAATATCACTTTTGTAAAAGTTCAAACAATAGTTATGAACTAGTATCAAGCTAGGAGTATTACTGGAATACTTATTTGCTTCAAACTGTAGTTATTATAAATTAATGATTATTATTTTCCTGGACTCCATTCGTTTAGCCTAATATGTTTGTTTGAGTTATGAATGTAATTTTTATAATTAATAATAAGTCGATCACGGTATTTATAATTATGAATGAAAAATCACGATAAGAGTAATGCTAAATGGGCCGATAAAAATTGTTTTAAAACTTACCTTAGCCAATAAAATATGTATAAAGCAACCTGAAAGTTGATAATGTGAAATGCAAATATAATATAATAATTACTATAGCCTCGTTTATTGTTTGTCATAGTGGACCAATGGGATGTCTTTACATGACCCACATGCTGTATTGGTATCTAGTATCTAAAAAACATGTGGATGTGGACTAAAAATCAAAATAAATCCGCGAAATAATCCGAAAAGATAGTTTTATTAATGTCAAACATTCGCGTAAATCTAGAGTATTATGTAAAACATGTGGACCTTAATCTACATCTTTAAATCTATTAAAACTATTATAATGAAACAATGTTCCAATTATATTTTAGCCTTTTTTCAGTGCATTTAACATTCTCTTTTAAAGGCATTTAATCATTATCAAATCATCTGCTTTTAAAACAGATTTCTATTTCCTCTACTATTTCCCAATAGGTCACCTTCTGTCTATGAAATCTTTAATATGTTTATGACATATTAAAGATTTTATTTTTGTTGTCACATGTTATTTTTCAAATAACTAATTTTAAATTAAATTACATTTTTTTCACATAATATGTAATTTGTAAAAAAACTGATAATTGGATAGCTACATAATAATAGTGGATATTTTTACAGAGGGTTTGAATACCGTATTGAGTAGATAATACATATATCCTGGTCCAGTCAATGACTTTAAAAACTATCAAGTTTCAACTGAGATTGCTATAGATAAGAAAGAATGCCTCCGGAACAGAACTACCTGAAGCTGATATCTCTTTTAATTTTGATGATTTATCTCTTTGGTTTAGTTAAATTATTTTTTCCTGCATAAGTTGTACAGTTTAACAAGCTATTGTTTACGGCTCCGTCCCGGTGAATCCTATTTAATTTGTAATCTCTGAAAGAACCATGAAAAGAAGATGGAATATAGAAACCGTTCTTTCAACTAAATATATCCAGGAATAATGGGAAGCATCTCTACTATTAAAATAAAACAATTAACTAATCATGGCTATTGGATCATAAGTTTAATGTGCTTGCTCAATTAAAAATTATATTCCTAGTAAGTTCTATTACCAATTAGGGTAATTAGTGAAAATTTTTGTATTTATACAATTCACAGGTGTACTTCTTCACATTGCAGCTTTAGATCCATTGCAAAGTGTTTGTAGTAACTTGTAACGAAATTTAAAACCCAAAGGTAAGTTAGCTACTATCTTATACATTTTATAAGTAGTCTTACATAAATAATAATCATTTTGGTATTTCTTTAGTTAAGTTTAGTTTAGTTCTTTATAATTTAAATTTAATATATATATTTTTTTCTAGATGTTCAAGTTTGTGATCATTGCTTCAATTGTGTCGATGGCGTGCGGGACTAAATACGCATATGTCGATAACAATGTAGTTGAATACGAGGATGCTTATGCTCATGTAAGTTTTTATTTATTCATTTTAATTTTAACTGTATATTGATGATAGCATAAATATATATTTCAACAATCGATATACGATAAAATCTTATTTCTTTACGATTGTTTTAAATTATTCAATTTATATAATCTCAAACTATCTTCTTACCAAATTTCATCTAAATCGGTTCAGTAGATCCAGAGATTACCCCCTACAACGGTCACAAACTCACAAACTTTGCCTCTTTATATATTAGTATAGAAAAAAAGGACATTTTAACAGAAGTTACAAGAACATATAATTTATAGTTACGAGTACATATACTACAGAATAAAATTCTGCGTAGATAAATCATTACCTTGTAGAGAACTATAGCTATGATGAACTTAAATAAATAATAGTTACAATAAAATATAGAGTCGTTGTTTCCAGTCGTTACCCAGGAAAATTGTTGTGTACAAATGGCATTTTACTTAATTGTCCATAGATTACTCAAATATTATCGTTAATTTAACAATCAGTGTATACACGGAGTAGTCCCACTTAAGTCATTTAAAATGTAAAAGATACTAATTTGTTGTTTCTATTCTATTTATTTCGAATATATACCAAGGTCGTTTTAAATTGTTATTTTATAAATACGCTAGCATTGCCCACGGCTCTGCCCACGTTCAGATGACCAAAAGACAAATTCTTACATTGCAGTTTTTGTTTTTTTTTCTCATTAATGAGACATTTTCCCGCGGTAAAAAGTATCCTATATGTTGACCTGGATAACCAGCTGTCACCATACCAAATTTCATCAAAATCCCTCCAGTGGTTTTTCTGTGATGCGGTAACACACAGACAGACAAAAATTCTAAAAATTATAGATTCGGCCTCTGTATCGATAACAATGTTTATTTCAATAAGATTTTCCAAAAAATATTTAATGTGTAGATTCGACTTAGTTACAATTTTATTATATTATGTATAGATAGCTTATTTATTTGCATGTCGTGATGTACTGAATTTCATGACTAAATATATAATGTCTACTTAGTAAGTATTATCCAAAAAAATATGGCTAAAATGTGCAATTTTGTGTTCAAATGAAAAAAAAAAACCCACTAAGATTCAAATTCAATTCAATTTTCTTGTTAAGACTTCAAAGCATATAGCTAGCAAGATTCATATAATTCAAATTATATATTGATGTGTTATATAAGTATAATATTTTATTTTTTATTTTCAGCCAATTTCTTTGCCATATCCGTATCAAGAACCGAAATTTATGAAAGTAGAACATCATCCATCTAACGTTGAAACTATTTATGATTTACGGAATGCTGTGGTACCTGATGTAGAGACGCAAGAGATTAGCTTATCTCCATTCAGTTCTATATGTTCTGTAGTAACGGTAAGCAAAGTTCACCTTACTCACTAAAATATTAGATATGCATTTGTTTATTTTTATTATTTAACTATCGATTCACCCTCTCTTCGCTTGTGTTCGTAACTATGTAAATATATACTTATCATATACGAGTATATAGTTTTACAATAATGTATGGAAGTCTGCCCGATTTGTTGACTTTTTTGATTACTGTTCTGCTCCCTTGGGCGCATATGCTAGCATAATATATAGCCTATAGCGTTCCTTAATAAACAAGCTATTTAATGCAAAAAGAATTTTTCAAATCGGATTAGTATTTCCTGAGATTAGCGCGTTCAAACAAAGAAAATCTGCCTCTTTATAAAATTAGTATAGAAATTTCATAAATAACGAGAGTCTATTGCATGCTAATATTATTATAATTTAGTAATTATACAGTTAAAACATTGTATAAACTTATTTATTCTATGTAAATACTCAGAATAAGGCACGATAACTTTACATTGCTGTTAATAAACATAATTGTTATTTTTTCAGTCGATGATCGGATGCATTAAAAGAGCAATAATGTACATAATCACTTCAATTCCAACACTTATCTTCTCTTTCTTCGGAATTTGCAATATGACGTCACTGTGCGAACATTTCAATCTAAATTCTTTGTTCAATGTATCGGAATTGAGTTCCTTTGTTACTCCCGAGAGGCTGAAAAGAGCGACTGAGTTCGTGGAAGCAGCGATTAAGAAATACAAGTCTTTATAAGAACAGAATTTGAATTTAAATTAGACATTATTATAGTTATTTGTTTAATGTTTATTTTGTATTATTGGTAGGTTTAATAAAGCATTAATATTTAATAAAATAGTTTTATTTATATTTATTATATAACTAACTTATATAACCCTTATATAACTTTGCGCGCATATCGCCATTTCTTATTATATCTTAAACTTAAAGTAAATAACATATCAAATTTGCCCTAATTTTCTATTAAGTACTATATAATGATGACACCATTTATTTTCACTAGGTTTTACATTTATTTTTGTATTTCAAACAGGCATCACCCACATTATTTAGTTATACAATATTTTTGTAAAACATAAAAGAAACAAATTGTGTGCGCTAAAATATAAAACTTAGATTAGAACCCTTAGGGTTCAACATATTTGCCATATTTTGTGTCCATTTATTTACAACCTTTTATGCAGCGTACATCGATAAAGCAACCAAGGAGTGTTTTTTTTCTACCAACTCGACTCATTAAAGAATTCCTTTAAATGCTAGGTCATTTTTAATACACCAAAAAAATTTAAAGAATGCAGAACATAAAACTTAACAGCAAAATCCGCATCCAAATTAGCTTAGCAATAGCGTGCACATACCTAAAGACTTAAACCGCTTGCCGGCGACAATATATTCCTTTCATATGTTTTTAACAGATTTTATAGGCCAAATCCATGTCGAGTTTCGTTAAACTAAATACGTGGATTAATTGCATTAGTCGTAATCAAATAAGTAGGGGAAGGTGGGGGGACACCGGATAGTTAAGAAGAAGACACAATAAATAAATCACTATGTTATTTATAGAGATAATCAATATCATAAACGTTTAAGTATACCTTAGGCATAACTTTGGTATGAAAATGTTTTTCCGAATTCACCCCATACCTATGGGTCAAACCGGATAGGTATTTTATATTATATGGGTGAATACAGATACTAACAATAAAACTAAATATTCAAATTATTCGCAGTTTTTGCATACAAAAAATATTAATTCTTGCTCAGAACTACCGATGCAACTTCGTGAGCCCATTTAAATCAAGCAGTGCATTGGTACCATTCATTTGAGGACTTAGTTTGACTGTACTTTTCTCTTCAAACCAAATACTCCGAATCCTCCTGATAGTTTTTTATTTGTCTTTTTACCGATTCGAAAATATTTGATTAGGTATCTATTCTTAATGAAAACCATCGTTTAGTTATTTTTTACATTTTAGTGCCTGCCTGGAAGTCGGTTTTTTAAGATTGTATTATGGTACAGAGGACAATCCAGTCTCGTCCATGTAATAAATTTGCGTCGGATTGAAAGCGTGCTTAGCGTAAATGGTATCTAAAACATTAAAAAAGATGACACTACAGCTCTATTAAAGCCCGTTGCTCTTGCAGCTGACGTTGCTTCAGGTGATCTTAATGATAATTCAGAATGTCGTTTAAAAAATCCATCAACCCAATCTAAGCCAGCTAGTTAGTTCAGTTTCTCTATTAAAAGGATGCTTTAAATTATTTTTTTTCAGCTAATTGGAATGCCAAACGTCGCAGATCTGTTTAAGCCAATCCAAATAGTAGAGATTCCATAGTTTTGATATGATCGACTAGCATACTTTCCAGCTCATCAGTGAAAACGCATTTTGCAGTAACGGGGTACTTTCTGAACACTTCGTCTTTGGATTTTTCACACTTGATCTTCTTTACACGATCTTCTAAGGAACTTTTGGGTACACTTTATGTAACGCTAAAAGATATCCCATTCTACCTTCTATCACCGAATTTAGGGCCAAAAGCATGTCTGACTCCGACCATTGCAACTTATATGACTTTTTCACATATGTTCGTGGCATGTTGTCGCTCGCACTCTGTAAAAAATAAATAGTAATTAAAAAGAGGATTTAAAACAAACACCCACAATACCTACATATAAAATCGATCGGGGTGAAACCGGGTAGTCGAATTCACCCCGTCCGCTTGTACCCCACAAGTACCATTTGGAAATTGTAATAACTAACAGGTTATGTTTACACTCACAGCAACAACCAATACCGTTTTAAAAGGTTAAATATGTATTACTTCTTAAAAGATACAACTGTATATGATAGCACACAGCTAAGTTTAATGATACCACTTTAAAAAAAAATTAAATATTAGATAACTTACCCTTGTTTTTAAATTTCGTTATAAAGACTCACGCGCCGAGATGATACCGTCGCCGCGATTTGCAACCGCACTGAGTAAGCGTTCGCGCGTATTTCTCCACTAGCTACAATGAGACAGCTGTACGTGGAGTAATGAAATAGGAACTATCTGTTTTCACCCCCTATCCGGTTTCCCCCCTCATTCCCCTACCTATAAAATGGTTTGTTTTACTCTGATAAAAATGATAATATACGCCCTTTAGCATACACGAGTTTCTTTTGATTAAAGAAGTGGTATCATTCTACATTTTTTCTAGAGCTTTTATTGAAAACAAATTCACCGATATTATTATATTCGCGATTTAAACTATTAAAGTGAAGAAGGAACTAAATTCCTTGGTTACCTAAATTGTAACTAAGCCGAATCTGTACATTAAATATCTTTTGGAAAATCTTATTGAAATAGACTTTATTATCGATACAGAGGTCGAATCTATAGTTTTTAGAATTTTTGTCTGTCTGTCTGTTACCGCATCACAGAAAATCTGATGGGATTTTGATGAAATTTGGTATGGTGATAGCTGGTTATTTTGGTCAACATATAGGATACTTTTTACTGCGGGAAAATGTTTCATTTCTGAGAAAAATACAAAAACTGCAATGTAAGAGTATACTCACGTGTAAATCTAAGAATTTGGTTTTTGGTCAGCTGAACGCGGGCGGAGCCGCGGGCAATGCTGGTATATAATAAAATGGTCCACGACGGTCGTCATTTTTAAATTTCAGTTCATTCGATGTTTACTTTATGATTTTATCCTATATAAATAAAAACGAATCACCGAAATGTATGTACACGCATAACTTCCGGACGACTGTAACAAATTGGATAATTCTTTTTTTGTGTCAGGACAACTTTTATATAGAAGAAAAGTAAAAGAATTTTTTTTATTAAAATAAGTTTTTTTTAAATCCCATGATATGAAAAGTAAGTGAGTGAAAAAGTTTTCATCCCGGAAATCATCCCTTTAGGGGGTGAGAATGGGGATTAAAGTTTCTGTGGAGAAGCAAGCATATAAATATTTTATTATTTCAAGTTAGGTACTTATCGTCTGCACTTTCTCAACAAAAATGTAAACAGTCAAAAAACAATATTGCTGATAGTAAAATTCCATAGTTATCATACTTATTTATCTTTTGGGTATATACTGTACCTTTGATTCGCTAAGCAGCTATACTACTAATCGGCGTCATTTGGTACATAACATGGGTAGTTCATCGAGTAAGAAAGTGAATATAACTGGAAGTGGCGTTCAGCAAAATGCGAAAAGTGTAACTCGGGATAGAGTTTATACAGCAAATGAGCAAGTAAATGAAGATCAAAATGTGGAAATCTTAGAGGATAGGTAAAATTAAAAAAATAAATCAATTTTTTAATCTAAAAAATTTAATTATTATTAACTTTTTAAAATTATGTCATATGAGTGTTGTAAAAGCTGTTGTTATGAGTATGATACCTTTGCCTATTTCTGTGTTTGTGTGTTTATAGCTTTGTAGCTTCTAAACGGGTGGACCAATTCGGACGCAGTTTATTAAAACGAAACCTAGTTTAACTGAGATGATTCTTCAGTTGCTCAAAAGATATTAGTGACCCTTTTTCTAAAGTTATGAGATATTTTTTAAGCAAATATTAGATTGTCTTTTTAATTTACATATCAATTGGCATGAATTTTGTTATACTCCAATATATATGTTATATATGTTAGATCATTAACACACAGCACCATCTAGTTCCATGGTAAGCTACGAGGCTTGTGTTATGGATACCAGATATTTAATACATTACACATACATAACTTTAAATACATGCATATTATAAATATAAACACCCATGATTAGAGTACAAACATTCGTGCTCATCACACAAATGAATGCCAATGGGACTCGAACCTGCGACCGCTGGCCCAGCAAGTAGAGTCACTACAAACTGAGACAAACGTGTAGTCAATATGACGCAGACTTGGAATCATTCATTTTATTTTTACTTTACAAGGGATCATTTTTATCGGGGATGTTACGAGTAGTTTACTTTTTCGGAGACAGTAAAGTAGGTACCTACTATGTTTTTGTTAAAATAACATCCCTGGCTAAGCTTTTTCTTACTCTTCTTCTGTCATCGCGCTCAGAAAATGACTTGAAAGATCTTAAATCCGAAACGTCATTCGTTTTTCAATAAGTCAATAAATTAAAAGTTTTTCAGTAAACTGAAAACTTACTAAACAAGTTTTTCAAAAAATTTACTACGTGCTCTTTTATTTTAAAATTTGATTTAAATAGAATAGGTTTGGACTTATTAAAAAAAATTACAAGAATATGCGCAGATGTCTATGTTATAAGATTATTCAAATTAAGAAGTCGATAAGTTGTGAGGTGCAACATTGTACATTCTCCGGAGTTTGTGAATAAGTATCTCCATTTGGGACGGCTGATCTACTAATATCTTAATCCTACTAATATTATAAATGCGAGAGTTTTCTGGATGTCTGAATGTATCTAGATCTATGGATGTTTGTTACTATTTCAAGCAAAAGCTACTGAATCAATTTTAATCAAACGTTACAATCATATAGCTCATACATCAGAATAATACATAGGCTACTTTTTGTACCAGAAAAATGTACGGTTCCCGTGGGATAGATTTCTTTTTGTTTTTTTAGAGTTATTAATACAGCATAGAACACAATATATTTCTCATTAAATAAAAGAGGTCAGAAAATAAAATGATCAACTGCTACGATATAATATAGTGGAAAAATTAACACATTAAACTATTATCAAGTTTTATCTATAATTTTACAATATTCATTGATATTAGTCAATGAGTGGATTATTATAATATTTCGTAATCTTTTCACAACCTCTTCATTAACCTCTTTTCATAATCCTTTTTCTGTTGAATTGTTTATAAAATTAGAATTAATTTAAGATCAATTATTATTTAAGATGATAAGGTGATAGATGGCAAGTACATTAAGCAAGTTATACTATAAAAATAAGAATGAATCACCGAAATGTATATACGCGCATAACTTCTGATTGACTGCACCAAATTGGGTAATTCTTTGTTTTGTGTTTGTTAATGCCAGGAAGTTTTGTATAGAAGAAAATTAAAAGAATATTTTTTTTACTAAAATAAGTTTTTTTATATCTCATGATATGAAAAGTGAGTGAGTAAAATAGTTTTTATCCCGGAAATCATCTCTTAATGGGGTGAGAATGGGGATGCAAGTTTGTATGGGGAACTAAGTTAGGGAGGAATCCGAGCGAAGCGAGGGTGAATCGCTAGTTTGTAATATAAATGTATCTAATTATGTCCACCCATTGCAGAGTTTATGCTTCTAGAAGGCAAGTTTAAATTCCAACGATTAATCACTAATTAAACTAATTTAAGATGAGTAATAGTTTAACACGTTATGCTAAAAATAAACTTAAAACAAAATGGATATATTGATTGAGGGATATAATTTAGACGAGAACTTGTAACGCATCGGGTCTAATTTTGTTGTACCTACTATTTTAAGCATAATAGCTTTTTACGCGTACTTCTATGGCCCCATGAATACTTTCTATATCGGCAAAAAAAGTAACAAGTCATTCTTATTTATGTCATAAGCTTAAAGCTTATTGAAACTATAAACTAAGTATAAGAAGTCATAAAAAAAATCTTTTTAGATTTGTACATCCTTACAAAGATAAGGTTGAATTACTAATTACGTACTATTATCTATTTAGACAAGAAAATGTAAAACGCTTCTTGACCTTCGACTTTTAAAATATCTTACTTGACATCAAGTAACAACTAATATAATATAATAAAAGATTTTTGACCCCCGACGCAAAAAGAGGGGTGTTATAAGTTTCACGTCGATGTCTGTCTGTGTGTGTGTGAGTGTCTGTCTGTGGCATCGTAGCTCTCAAACGGATGGACCGATTTCGATGCAGTTTTTTTCATTTGAAAGCCAGTTTCCTTGCGGTGGTTCTTAGATATTTATTTATTTAGAGTAGCCAACAGGACATAGACTTAAATCGTACAAAAACTACATGTCTAAATTTTACAATTGGTAAAGGTTGTTCTACTTAATGGCTACCACGACAAGCGAAAACATAAAGAGAGGTAGCCGAGACTATATATGTATATATATATATATATACACCTTTTTAAATACAAACATAATTTATATATAAACACCTATATGTTTGTTTAATATCGGTCCAGCAGTGTAAGAGTATCAGCTCTTTTCCAAAATGATGTAAGGCATTTTGGCGATGATTACCTGATTAAGTGCTTCACACGTGCCAGTGTAATCGTTAAATGATAATTAATTTGCGTTGAGTTTGTTTCATTTTTTTATTTATTAGGAGTGTTTATTTAATTTATTATTAGGATAGTGAGCGAAAGAGATCAAATCTACATATAGAGTTACGATATTAGATATAAAATTAGATTATAAATAATCTTTATTATATCGACCTCTGTTCATCATTGCAATGAAGATGCACGGAAATGACGTTGAATGTAAACGCATAGCTATTATTCATAAATGGACATTACTGGCCAATTTTATGCTCTGATAACATTAGTTCCTACAACATAATAGCTAAAATTGTATTAAAAGTGCACTGATTACTTCTATAATAAGAGCTCTAATCTTATTAGTAAATAATGTCATAATTAACCCAACATTATATTCTGGAATTTGATACAGACATTATTATTGAAAAAAATATAATATTCTGACACTCAGTGGCAAATAAATTGTTTAGATTATTATTTATGGATGAATCCGTATTTTTATGATTTGTATTGTGGTGTTCGTCATATAATTGAGAGTTCAATCAATTTTTTGGTATAAAGGTCAAGAGTTATTGAGTTTAGTGTACCATGTATATTGTAATATATACATTCATGGCGATGGGATAATTTGAGTGGCCATGGGATGCAAACTTGCACCGCCACTTTGACTGTCATTACCGCTCATCGTTACCATGGCCCCCACAACTATAACACCGTAACAATAACAATAAACACGATATAAACCAGCTACTCTCTCTCTAGCTACTAATAAGTTAACGAATAGTCATCGCGATTGGAGTACTTTGACGTGATCAGTGACATTTTGGTTTGAAAACTAAATTGTACTGTTAAGAAAAATATAATTAAAAACCCTCATAGATTAGAATAGGGTAGATATATCAAATTTTTAATACAGAAGTTAGCGTTGGCTTACTTTATTTAGATCATATTTTAATGTTATTATACTTGTAAATAGTCCATTTCTGTATTTTTCATTCATTTTCAATTAAAACTTAAAAAAAAACAAACTGCGGTAATGTATGGACAAAACAGTTGTAGGAAAAATAGAAGCGATGATAAAGTGAGTCAACATTTCAAAATTTAATTCGAATTTTGGGTTCGCATTTCGTATGTCTTGTTTTCTGTTAATTTCATTAAAGTTTACTCCGCTGCATAAAGATAAACGTTTGTTTTGAAAAGAAGACAATGAACTCAAATATTTTATTGTTACGCTTGATACTTTGACTTTTATCTCTGTTTTCTTTCTTGCTAGTAAATATTTTTGTACTTGACATTGTCTTGGCAAAAGTAACTGATTACTGCAACTTTTATAATATATTATATTAGTGTCGATTAATTTGTTTTTAAATAGTTTTATAATTATAATAACAAGACATATTATTACGCCTGCTTAAGTCCACACAGAAATAATTTAAAAGTGCAAATATGAGATCAATTTTTGCGATAATAGCGACTTTTCTTCTAATTTATATAAAGTGGTAAGTTATGTTAATACATAATGTTTTGAGCACACTCAGGTAATGGTCCACTTAAAACCTTCACATATTTATAGTACCAACAAGTATAATAAATAAATGCAGCATATTTATTTAAACGATAGTTTGTTTTATAGTAAAGGATAAATAAAACATTTCCGTAAAACTACGATCATAAATTATTTAAAAGACATACTATGCTTTTTTATATGAGTATATATATTTAAAATATTGTGCTTTTTTATATAAGTAACGCTGCAGCAAGATCTAGAGGCCATAAAATGCCGATTCAACCCATAAAATTGTATTACTTGGTACCATCGCCCCCCTCTCGGTCAGTGATGATGACAGCTAAGATGTTAGGACTGGAATTGGACCTTGTCCATATTGACATCTTCAAGGGAGAACATAAAACACCTGAATTTTTGAAGGTATGTATAGATTTCTTATAGTTTCAGGAGTAGAGATATATGCGACACCTAATTCCCAATCTAATTGGATGTTAGGTAGCGGTTAACGCCGTTATTAAGTCTTACTGATACTACGTATGTATAATATAGTAGATAGGTACAATAGTCGTATAAAGCAGTAGGTACAGTTATAAGATACAAAAATACGTAATATATTTATGTTGCTAGGTTGATTTTTAATTATTTACACAACAAATTCGTTATAACCCTCGACACAAAAACGACGGGGTGTTTATAAGTTTGACGTGTCTGTGTGTCTGTCTGTGTGTAGCATCTTAGCTCCTGAACGGATGAGCCGATTTTGATTTTGTTTTTTTTTTGTTTGAAAGATGAATTAGTCGGGAGTGTTCTTAGCTATGTTTAATGAAAATCGGTCCAAGATGGCCGTCGCCACAAAATGGCGGTTTACATATTTTTTCACAACTACCTCAATACCCATGTATCAAATGAAAGCTGGCTGAAAGCTTGACTAGTAGAATACACTATGATAAATTTCAAATCCAAAATGGCCGCCACCACAAATAGACAAATTACATGTCGGAGTTTTTTTAATTATTAATATTTTATTAGTTTAGTATTAAATTATACTTACTATTGTTATGGTTTATTATAAAATAAAATATATTAAAGTATATTAAAATGACTAGCGTCACCACTAGTGCATGTTTTTATTGACCGACTTAAAAAAGACGATATTTTCACTAATTGTAAGCTTATTTTCGGGATTTTCTAATATTAAAACCTATCAATTATATTGATAGGTTATATTTCAGGCATGCACGTATAAATGCTAAGAAAATCTGTTCTTTTAAAGGTGGAATAATTACTTTTAAATTGATTTTAAGGTCTTTTTACTTAAAAAGCTTACTTTTAATTACAATTTTCAAAATAATAATAATAAATTATAAAAGATAGATAAAAAAATGTTAATAATTGTGGTATTTTTTTAGATGAATCCACAACACACAGTACCGACAATGGACGACAATGGTTTCATATTACGAGAAAGGTTGGTTAATATATAGTTTTATTTACGTAATCTATAATATAATTGCTTCGTCCTGACTGATACTTTAACGCAGAGCCTAAACAGGTAAGAAACTAAGAAATTTTAGCAGTTGATGCATTTTTTGATGTAAACATCCATTAAAGAAGAATTTTTTGAAACTCGACCCCTAAAGGGGTAATATAAGGTATAACGGTTGTATGGAAATACGTCATTTTCAACGTTGGAAGTATAAAATTTCATATACAAGCTTCTGGTTAGAAATAAACAAATATGTACTCAGTGTTTTTTGAAAATTTGCCCCCTAAGAGGGTGAAATAGAAGTTGAACTTTTACTAAAGTATATTTAATATTAAAGCTTCTCATCAAAAATAAATACATACGTATTTCATCGTTTTTGGAAATTCAACCCCAAACGGAAGAAATAGGGTGGAAACATTAGTAAAAAAATGGTCTGATCGGCTTGAAATTTACTATCTGCTTTTCTTGATTGAACCTATAAAGAAACCACAAACATATATTTCAAAGCTTTTCAAAATTCTAGCCCTTAGATGAAAAAGGGGTGGTAACTTATTTATTTTTGTGTTGAAGAGTTAGCACATTTGTATGGACATATTCGCAAAAAAAAACTTCATATACAATATACATACTTCTAGGTGCAAATAATGAAATTAAAAATACAATAAACAAAAAAAAACCGACTTTAAAACACTAAAAAAAAATTAAAAAAAAAAAAACCAACTGCATAAAAATCGAACTAAAAACATGAGAACAAGTTGTCAAAGCAACATAGTATACATAATATTGGATATTTAAAAATAACGTAAATGTTAGCCTATTTATATGTTAGTTAAAAGCCCATTAGCCGAAATGATTCTTAAGTCGTAAAAATTATAATGCGAGTTATATCACTGTACTCTTTTCCTGTAACTTTGAAAAGATGAAGTAGAAAATGTGTAAAAAATAGACGTCGTGGAGTTTGCTAAGCGAAATAATAAAGTAAATTAATTTTACAGAATATACGTAAAACATATTTTAAGATTGTGGACATTTTGAGTTAGGGTCACTAACATTTTTATATTCCATAATTTCTTTCAAAAATAATGTGTAACGTGATAAGTTCACGTTTTGGTAATAATAAAGTATGTATTACGAAAACCTAAACATTTTATTTGTGTGTAAATATGTTAGTAAAAACAACACAAAATTCTGCCGTACGGAACCCTTGATGCGCGAGTCAAAATCTTACTCATTCACAATAATACACATTTGAAAATCATTACAGATGTGTTTTTTGTATTTTTAGCGCGAGCGAAGTCGCGGATTCTACTAGTAATTCAATAAAAATAAATTTTGCAATTACATGAGTATGAGGATGAATGAGATTGTGCAAACTTGCTATGTTGTATAAATACCTGAAGGATGATATTCGACCCAATTCTAAATCGACTCTGCTACCACAAGCTTAATAGATCTACTAGAACCTAACATAGATGTCATAATACTGTACTAGTAGATAGTATTTTTTTTATTATTGTTTTTTTTGTTGATCCTCCTTTCACGTAGTGAAAAACAAAAGATTATATTTCTTTGTAGAAGGACATCTTGTCTTAAGCTCTTGGTTCTTTAGATCCGAATCTTCAAACTTCAAAACAAATGCAAATTGAAATAACAAAAAATGTCAACCTCTCTACCTACAGAATATTACTGGCAAAAATAGAACTAACAACTTTAAGTCGAAAAAATTAAAATTTCAATTACATATTAAACACAATTTCTTTAAACTATTCTTACCAAAGTATTGAGTAGAAAATTCACTCAAATCATTTTTACAGTCGTGCAATCATGATATACTTGATGAATGCGTATGGCCGTGATGACTCTCTCTACCCGAAGAATCCTCGTCAACGAGCGCTTGTTCATCAACGACTTGATTTCGATTTGGGCACTTTATATAGAAGATATATGGACTTGTATGTAAGTAGTTTTACGTATGTATGTATTTATGTTTTTAATATAATTTTTATTATATGTTGTCATAAGTCCTGGAAATTTATAAAATAGAGCTATATTTTTGTATGAAAATAAGTATTGTAATATGTTAATAACGTTAAATTTTAGGTACCAATGATATTAGACGGCGCAAAATACAGTGAAGAAGCAGCTGCAAAATTAAATGAAGCATTAGACTGGCTAAATAAAATGTTGGACGGAAGAGCTTTCGTGGCGGGTGATAACTTAACTTTGGCTGATATTTCCATCGTCGTCGTTTTATCTAATTTAGAGGTTTGTGATCGATTAAATTCAAAAAAAGGAGGTACAGATGCGTATATTGTTTGTTATTTATTTACCGATTTTTAGAGATTGTATGTTTGGATTGTGTCCTCTAGGGTCTTAGAACGATCCTGTGATTATCCGTTACAAATTTCTTTGACATGGATCATACAGCTTTTTAAGTTAGAAAGAATCCATGACGCTATATGTATGTAAGTAAATGAAGTATGTAATTTTTTCCCTCCGAATTTTCGAATTGACTTGAAATTTTACAAGTAGGTATTTCTGACGACTTTGCAATAATTTGGTATCAACGAGATGATCTGATGAGATTAACATCATTATATATTGCTATAAAAACCGGAAAATAGATAGTGGAACACTTTAATCATCAATGACTATATCTAAACCTTTTATGATTTATTTACATAATCTTGAGTGTCTGATTATAGTGTGCTTCTAATAAAAGCGTGTATATTTTACTTTCTTAATAAAACATAAATGTCGTCATATAATACTTATCAGAAAGAATTAAATTATATTATACTAGCTGATCAGACCTGTGTCGTAGCTATGCCAGTGCAACCAATGCGGTCGCATGGGGCCCCTGATTCAATAGGGCCCGAGGCGGCCACAAACGATTCTTTTACTTCAAAACATTTTTTCGAGGACGACCCTCATTGAAGTTTAAAAAACAAACCACAAAAGTGTCCTAAATTTCCGCATATTATTTCATAAAAGGCAAAGGGAAGCACTTCATTTTTTTTTGCATTGGGGCCCTAAAATGTTAGTGATATGCCACTAGACCAAACTGACAATTTCTTTAAGATACGATGTGATTTTATAGAAAAATAATATAGAAAATTACAAACATTATTAAAAAAAACACTAATTCGGTCTAGCCAGTAACAAATTATACACTTATATCAACGAACAGCATATTAGTTTTATTACATTTAAAAAGAAGTATTTAATTTACTTTTGACTTTTAATTTTATAGCTTCTGTCTATTAGTATCCGATAGATATTGAACTTTCGTTTCTTCAGATTGCCAAAATTAATATTACTCTCGCAACCTTTGTTGTAAATTCGAGTATAATATGCGTATCGCCTGAACTATTTTCATAGAAAAGATGCGTTCGGACGTTAAATTTACAAAATAAAACAAAATTAATATTGCTAATTGTTATAAAATAGAACAAAAAATGGATAATCTCCCTATGCTGTGGTATTAAAACGTATTTGTTATTGAAAATAAGTTTGGTGTTTTTAATAAAAAGTAAAAACAAAATGCATTAATTCAATAATGCTGTTAGATACTAAAATACGCTCCCAACCGATGGTAAAAAGGTTATGACAGTTTAAGTATGATATATAAAATTTTTCACATTTGAATGCGTTTGATTTACATATAGAGAGTGATAAAGTTGAAATATTTTTTTTATAATCTTTATCGCTTTTCAATTAAGCCTTTATCAATATTTTTTAATGTCATTTCTTTTTGATTAAGAAAATAATTATTAAAAAGTGCAAATATAGGCGGGAAATTGAAAGTATTTTAAATAAAACTATCTTTTCGGATCATTTCGCGGATTTATTTTGATTTTTGGTTCCCAACGCGACGTTTCGAAATGCTTTACAGCAATCATGGTCACAGGCGAGACTAAGGTTTAAGATGTCTCAAAGACATTAAAATGTAAGTAGATGAAACGCACGCCATTGGTAAGACTGAATAATAATGACCTCAATGTATTATCATAACAGAGCGAAAGCGGTTATTTTTCTATGTATGTACTTTGACGTCACTTCGTATCGTATCGGTATAATATTTAAAAAAAAATATACTAAATTTTCATTTTTTTGGATCTGGATATTTTTTTACAATTATATAAAGATGTTAGCTATTATATGAAAAATTCAAAAAAAAAATACGCATATTCCCTATTACCTGACTGCGGCGAAGTCCAAAGGAGGTTTGTTTTAAAATGTTCCCTAAAAAAAACAATAACCTAAAAAATTACATAAATAAGTACCGCTTATATTATTAATCTGTTATCTATATGAATAAAAATCAAATGCTGTTTGTTGGTAAACGCTTTGGTAAATGTTTCTAATTGTCTGAGTAATAGAAAGTGTGTCCAGAAAAATGAGAAATTTGAAGAAAGAAAAAAGAAAAATTGAAAGTTCAACTTTTCCAACATCACGCATTTTAGCAAAGTTTAGACAGGCCCATGTATGTTACCAGTAATATAACTACTACTAATTTATAATGTCAAATTGATGTAGACCGGTAGTAAGCAGTTACGTTGCTGCCATTATCACTCATTATTATCTACTAATTGATGTATTTTTCACTTTTGACAGGCTTTAGAGTTCGACTACAGTGCTCATGAAAATGTGGCAAAGTGGTTTGAAAGAATGAAAAAAGAATTAGAGCCCTATGGCTATGTAGAAATCGACCAAGTCGGCGCGCAAGCACTTGCCTCGCTCTTGAAGAAAGATAAAAACTAATTTTTTATTGTTAATTTCATTACCTATGTACCTACGCAATAAAACGTACCGAACTTGCTTATTGTTTTCCTAATCGACAATAACAAACACAATAAAAAAAAAGTTAAATCGGTCCAGCCGTTCACGCGTGATGGCGTGACCAAGGGAAATAGGGATTCATTTTTATATAAATGAGTAAATAGATATTTCGCATACATAGATAAAACACTTTAATTCTATATCACTTAGTAACATTTTTATGAATACCTCATCATAATTTCATGATGAAAATTAGTCTATAGTACAGAATATCCTTCCAGGAGTCCTCAGAAGGATAATAATTCGTCTTCTGATGAATTGTTTATTAAATAAGAATTAATTTAAGATTAATAATTATTTAAGACGATAAGGTGATAGATACCAAGTACATTAAGCATGTCGTATTTGTAATATAATTAATTTATGACTGACCTTTGCAAAGTTTATGCTTACTAGAAGGCAAGTTAAATTCAGGCGATTAATTATAACTAATTAAACTTATTTTAGTTAATTGATAGGTTAACACGTTATGCTAAAAATAAACTTAAAACAAAATCGATATATTGATTGAGGCATAAAATTAATACGTGAACTTGTAAGGCATCAGGTCCAATTTTGTTGTACAATTTTATATGTATATATATATATATATATATATATATATATATATATACATATATATATATATAGCTTTTTATGCGTACTTCCAGGAACCTATGAATACTTTCTATATCGGCAAAAAAGTAACAAGTCATTCTTATTTATGTCATAAGCTTGAAGCTTATTGAAACTACATATAAACTATAAGAAGTCATAGATCATTTCTTTTTAGTTTTGTACATCCTTACAATATGTATGTATGTATGACGTATGTATTTATGTATGTTTGTTCCTATGTGGCGTTCTAGAGACCAAACGATGGGGCCGATTTTGATTAGTCATATATCGTGAGATTCGACATGATAACGTGAATGTATAAGCTATATAAAAATAGTTAGAAATTAAAATGGAGGGTTTCAGGCGCCATTTTGTGTCTCTTAAGGAAAACTCCCAAACTAATTGAGCGGGGTATAAAAATAAAGTTTTTTAAATTAAAATTTAAAAAAAGCTATAAATAATAAAATGTAGGTCTCGTGGCAAGGATGAAACATATTATGAATGTATGTCTCCGACGGCATAATACCATATTCCTTCGTCAACTTGTTTTCATCTTTTTAGTTAGCTTTCAGGCAGTCGGGTTTTTTATTCTTATATTTTTTTAAAATATCTATTTTTAATTTATACTCCTTACTTGACATCAAGTAGCATAAGACCACTGTGTTACTTTATGTCAAGTGCTTTTTTTAATTAATTTAGGTAACATCTAATATTAGAAAACATTTTTAGGAGTATCTATTTAATTTATTATTAGAATGTAGTAAGCGAAGGAAATCAAATCTACCTACTTTATATAAAGTCGATATAAGTTATAAAATTGGATTATAAATAATCTTCATTACTAAACAAATGATAAGATATTAGGTCAATACCTACTTATTATAATATTACTACTATGTTACTAACTTATCTCGTTAATAGTGTATCTGCTGACTTTACATCGACCTCTGTTCATCATTGCAATGAAGATGCAGGGAAATGTCCTTGAATGTAAATATATATCTATTATTGTTTATAAATGGAGAGTATTGCCAATTATATGCACTGATAATGTCAGTTCTTAAGGCAGGATACTTTAAATTGTATTGAATATGCACCGATTATTTCTATAATAAGAACTCCATTCTTATTATAATTAATCCAATATTATATTCTGGAATTTTATAAAGAAATTATTATTGAAATAAATATAATATTTTATAATATAAAGAAATTGTTTAGATTATTTATGGATGAATCCGTATTTGTACGATTTGTGGTGAAGTGAAATATTGCGTACTTAATCGTTCGTTATATAATTTAAAGGTCAATCAATTTTTGGTATAAAGGTCAAGAGGTATTGAGTTTAGTGTAACATGTATATTATAATATATACATATGTCGATGGGATAATTAGAGTGACCATGGGACGCAAACTTGCACCGTCACTCTGACTGTCATTACCGCCCATCGTTACCATGGCCCCCACAACCATTACACCGTAACAATAAACACGATATAAACGAGTTACTCATAAGTTAACGAATAGTCATCGCGACTGGAGTACTTTAACGTGATCAGTGAGATTTTTGGTTTGAAAACTAAATTGTGCTGTAAGAAAAATATAATTAAAAACCCTCGTAGATTAGAATAGGGTAGATATATCAAAATTTTAATAGGGAAGTTAGCGTTCGCTTACTTTATTTAGACCATACTTTAATGTTATTATACTTGTAAATATTCCATTTCCCTATTTTTCATTCATTTTCAAATATTTTTTGCGTTAAAACTTAAAAAAAATCAAACTGGGGCAATGTATGGACAAAACAGTTGTAGGAAAAATACAAGCGATAAAGTGAGTCAAAATTTCAAAATTTAATTAGAATTTTGGGTTCGCATTTCGTCTTTTTTGTTTTCGGTTAATTTCACTAAGGTTTACTCCGCTACATAAAGATAAGCATTTGTTTTGAAAAGAAGACAATGAACTCAAATATTTTATTGTTACGCTTGATACTTTGACTTTTATCTCTGTTTTCTTGTTTGCTAGTAAATATTTTTGTACTTGACATTGTTTTGGCAAAAGTAACTGATAACTGCAACTTTTATATATTATATTAGTGTCGATTAATGTTTTTAAATAGTTTTGTTATTATAATAACAAGACATATTATTACACCTGCTTATGTTCCACACAGAAATAACTTAAGAGTGCAAATATGAAATCATTTTTTGCAATACTAGCGACTTTACTGGTAATTTATATAAAATGGTAAGTTATGTTAATTCATAATGTTTAGAGCACACTCAGGTAATGGACCGACTAAACTGCACATATTTATAGCACCAACAGGTATAATAAATGAATATATATTTATTTAAACGACAGTTTGTTTTATAGTATCTATTTGCACAGCTTTATTATTTTTCATTACTTACCCAGAAATCTAAACATGCACAAAGTTTTTTTTACGCAAAACACCATATTTTTGTCGAATAACATTATAATGAGTCAGAATAGGGAAAGTTGGCTGCACTTGCAAGACGCTTAACATTAAATTAGTAGATTCGATGTTAATTACAATTTATAATTCTTTAATGTAAACAAGGATTAAGTACTATATGCATAGGTTCCAGACACTGAATATTCATATGTATCTTTTATTTCTATTAAAGGAACTAAGTATTTATCAGCTAAAGGAATGAATATGGAGATTAGGTGCTGTTTTTATTGCCCGATACTCTGATTTTTGGGCCCCATATTAATTTTCTCCTATTATATATTAAAATATTTTTTTCATTATCAGTCCATAATATGTCTGTCTGTTAACTCGCGTCCTTTATTCGAGTTCGATTGAAATGATGAATTACAACTTTCCGTAAAACTACAAACACATTTTACTTACAAGACATACGAAATATTATGTTTTTTTTATATCAGTAACGCCGCAGCAAGATCTAAAGGCAATAAAATGCCGAGTCAACCCATAAAGTTGTACTACCTGCCGCCGTCACCCCCTTGCCGGTCAGTGATGATGACAGCTAAGGTATTAGGACTCGAGTTGGACCTTGTTCTTACAAACATCTTAAAGGGAGAACATAAAACACCTGAATTTTTGAAGGTATGTACCTATAAGTTTCATATAGTTCCATGTTATTTCCCGTCAAGAATGAGTAGAGATATAATATGTGACACCTTATTCCCTATCTAATTAAATGTTAGGTAGCTGTTAACGCCGTTATTAAGTCTCACAGAAATTAATGCATATAATATATTAGATATAATTTAAATTCTTCATTTTGCAAGAGTCATTTTTAATTAATTATAGTATAACACATTATTTTATTTTTGTAGTAAATATTTTTATTTACTGACTTAAAAAAGAAGGCGTACTGTTGTGTGTACGTTAAGCAATGTTTTCATTAATTTAAACTGATTTTTGCGATTTTCTAATTAATAATTTATATTACGGGGGTGCACGTATAAATCTCAAAAAAATAGGTCCATAAAGGTGGAATAATAACTTTTAAATTGATTTTTAAGGGCTCTTTACGTAAAAAGTTTACTTTTAATTACAATTTTCAATAAAAGAAATAAATGAATGAATTATTTTAATGTTAATAGATAGGTAATGTAAATGTTAAGTGCGATATTTTTTTCTAGATGAATCCGCAACATACAATACCGACAATGGACGACAATGGTTTTATATTATGGGAAAGGTCAGCTAATTAAATAATTTTAATATGTGATTCGAAAAAAATAATTTTACAATTACATAAAAACTATGAATTGATGATTGAAACTGTGCTAACTTGTTTTTTGTTGTATAGATATCTGTAATAAGAGATTTGACTCAATTCTAAATCGAGTCTGCTACCTAGATACTAGTACCTAGTACCTACCATGATCATGATGACATTATACTGACTGGATTTTTTCTTACATTATAGGATATTTTGGTTGTCCTTCTTTTACGCAGCCAAAAACAAAGGATTTTTGATATTTAAATACAATTTAAGTAGTTTGATTTTTAAAACGATTGTAGTAAGATATATTTTTGAAGCAATTGGATACTACTTTAGAAATCATGTTAGAGCTAAAGAAACGAATCTTCAAAATACTTAAAAACAAACTCATGGAAATAACAAAAAATGTCAACCTCTAATAAAAAAATCCATTTTTAACGCAATTTCCTTAAACTACTCTTACCGAATAATCGAATAGAAAGTTCATTGAAATCATTTTTACAGTCGTGCAATCTTGACTTACTTGGTGAATGCATATGGCCGTGATGATTCTCTCTACCCAAGGAATCCTCGTCAAAGAGCGCTTGTTGATCAACGACTTAATTTCGATTTGGGCACTTTATATAAAAGATATTTGGACTTATATGTAAGTAGCTTTACGTATGCATTATTAATATTTTTAATATATATGTTTTACTATATGCTATTTTAGTTATAGAATATAACTAAAGAAAATAAGTATGTATATGTATGTAATGTAATACGTTAATTTTATACTTTAAAATTTAAGGTACCGATCTTATTTGGCGGCGGAGAATACAATGAAGAAGCAGCTGCAAAATTAAACGAAGCATTAGATTGGCTAAATACCATGTTGGAGGGACGAGCTTTCGTGGCGGGTGAAAACTTAACTGTTGCTGATATTTCCATGGTCGTCGTTTTATCTAATTTAGAGGTTTGTGATCAATTAAATTCAAAAAAGGCGGTGCAGATGCGTATATTGTTTGTTTATTATTATTTAGGTATTTACTGGTTTTGGTATTGATTTTTGAGGTTGGCATGGCCTATTCGGCTAAATTGAACTGTGTCCTCTAGGTAATTTTCTAAGGTAGATGCTGAAGATGTCCGATACAAACTTTTACATAGACCATACAGCTTTAGAAGTCAGATAGAAACCATGATGTTATAAGTATATAAGTAAATGAAGTATGTAATTTTTTCCTTCCAAAATTTCGAATTAACTTCAAATTTTACAAGTTCTGATGACTTTGTAATAATTCGGTATTATCGAGATGATATGATGCGATCAACATCATTAGATAATAATGTATAAACCGGAAAGTAGATAGTGGAACACTTTAATCATCAATGGCTATAACTTAAACCTATATGGTTTATTTAGATAAGCTTTTGAGTGTCTGATTTTAGTGTGATACTAATAAAAGCGTGTTATATAAAACTTATCAAAAAGTATAACATGATATAATATTAGCTGACCAGAGCAGTGGCGTAGCTATGCCAGTGCAACCAATGTTGTCGCATGAGGCCCCTTATTCAAGAGGGCCCGAGTGTGCCACAAATGATACTTTGATTTCAAAACCATTTTTTCGAGGACCAGACATTTTTTAAAAAACCCGCAAGAAAAAGTATCCTAAATTTCCGCATATTATAATAGACAAAGGGGGGCACTTCCATTTTTTTGCATTGGTCCACAATCGTTTTCATAATTGGCAAAGGGTGCCCCTCGTTGCCTTCCACTTTTTGTATTGGGGCTCTAAAGGGCTACACCACTCGACCAGACTGACAATTTCTTTAAGATAAAATGTTATTTTGTACAAAAATCACATAGAAAACAGCCCTTTCAACCTGAAGATTTCGATTATATTCCGAAAAAGCCTAAAACCTAAACATTATGAAAATTTTACTGATTCGGTGTAGCCGGTAACAAATTATACACTTACTATAAACGAACAGCATTGAATTTTTATTACATCCATGCTAATATTATAAATGTGAATGTGTGTTTGTTTGTTTGCTTGTTTGTTTGTCCTTCCTTCAGGTCGAAACAGAGTGACAGATTTACGTGATATTTGTATGGAGATAGTTGGAGGGCGGGCTAGGCTATTTTTTACCGCGGGAGATCATCGCATTCCCACGAGAAAATACGTTAAATACAAACTAAAAAAAAATTTATGATCAGAATTACTTGAAACTTAGTATTAATGCTCTTCAATATAATTAAATAAATACGTGTTTTAACATTTCTTGAAATTCATCCCATAAGTGGGTAAAGTAAGGGATGAAAGTTTGTATAACCTACCTTTTTTAGAGTTTCTTTTTAAAGTTTTAGCGCGAGCGACGCCGCGGGTTCGGCTAGTCTAAAAATAAGTTTTTTAATTACTTTTGACTTTTAATTTTATAACATCTGTCTATCTATCTATATGTCTATTAGTAGTAGCTTAAATATTAAACTTTCGTTTTTACAGAATGCACAAATTTTGATTACTCTCGCAATCTTTTTTGTAAATTCGAGTATAGTATGCGTATCGCCTGATTTTTTTCATAGCAAACATGCGCTCTGTCGTTAAATGTATAAAATATAACAGTAATAATATTATTAAAAGTAATAATAGAACAAAAAGAATGAGATTCTACTTAAGCTATGGTATTAAAACGTATTTGCTATTAGAAATAAGTTCAGTGTTCTTAATCAAAACATTAAAATGCATTCATTCAATAATGCTGTTACTAAAATACGCTTCTAACCTATTATACATATAGGTATGATAAAAGGATGAGACAGTATCTGAATGACAATATTTGAATGTTTTATTATATAATATTTAATCATTCACTAATTACCTGATTGCGGCGAAGTCCAAAGGAGGGTTATTTTACACACTTGAGTACCGCATATATTATTTATCTGTTAACTATATCAATAAAAATGGAACGTTGTTCGCTTTGCGCATTATTTGAGAACAGTTTTTTTCATTCATTTCATTCGATTTGGCAAAATGTTCATAATAGTCTAAATGATGGAAAATGTGCCCAGAAAAATGAAAAATTTGAAGAAAGACAAAAGAAAATAGTGCTCTTTTCAATTTTAATTTAGATATGCCAATATACTCGTATGTTAAGGTCAGCTAGTAATATAACTTCTACTACTTTATAATGTCAAACTGATATAAGCCGGTAGTGGGTAGTTACGTTGCTGCCTCTCATTATTATCTACTAATTGATATTTTTTTAACTTTTTACAGGCATTGGAGTTCGACTACAGCGCTCATGAAAATGTGGCAAAGTGGTTTGAAAGAACGAAAAAAGAGTTAGAACCCTATGGCTACGTAGAAATCGACCAAGCCGGCGCGCGAACACTCGCTTCGTTCGCGAAGAAAGATAAAAACTAATTTTTTATTGTTAGTTTCATTACCTATGTAGTATATATACGCAATAAAACGTATAGCAAACTTGCTTATTGTTTTCCTTATCGTACGGTTACTATTGGATTGGGGACGTCCGCTTTAAGTTTATTTATAAAGCCAGCAATACTTTCTAGCAAAATCTTCGACCATGATATCTGCAGTTGACATGAATAAATAAAAACTTTAACCGACGATAAAAAGACCGACTTCCAGGCACTAAAATGTAAAAAATAACTAAACGGGGGTTTTCATTTAGAATAGATACCTAATCAGATATTGTCGAAGTTTTATGTTATTTTTTTTAAGTTTTTATTTTTATATTTTTAGTGTAGACGTAATAAGCAGGTAATTTGTAGGTAGAAACTTTTTAATAACATATTCGATGAAACAATTTGTTTAAAAAAATATTTATTGTCGATATTTTTTAAAACCGCTCGACCGATTTCGATGAAATTTATATGTGACTACCTGGGAAGTATACCCTTTTAAATAAAACAAAAATTTTCCAAATCGGTTCATGCGTCTTCGAGTAATCGGTGAACATACATAAAAAAAAGATTCCGACGAATTGAGAACCTCCTCGTTTTTGGAAGTCGGTTGAAAATAGGTCCATTACGAGATATGTATGTATATCAATGTAATTATTTACTTTGAGCAGTAATCGAACTCGCTAGCATTAGGTCATTGTAAACATGACCATAGTCCGTAGACGACTAATAAACATGATAATAATCATAGTTTTTCTAGATGAGTGCTTTTGATAATAATAGCAATGGTGATAACAATGTGTAAGTAGTGATACAACTTCCGGTCGCACGAGAATATCCTGACGGTTTAGATCACAGAGGGATAGCACGAACAGAGAGTCACTATAATAAAACTGAGTTAGGGTACCTTCTTTTTCCGGCTCGCATGTAAAATATATCGACTGCCTATTAAATATAAGTATATGTAGATCGGTTTATTTAATTTACTAAAGCATATGCTACTTTAAATGTTAGTTTCTACAGATTTAAATGTTTTCAATTCTCTCAATATATTGTAATGAAAGTAATTCTAAAAATTGTCCTTCTGTTTGTATGTTTATTCTATGGTTTGAATTGAGGTGGGCATTTCTATATCACAGAACAATGCGCCGGCGCTCGCGGACGGGTCGCTCCGCGCACATACCGTTTCACGTTTTCAAAACAAAACCGTCGTTCGATTGTTTCAAATTGAAAAAGTTAACAACACGAATAAACACAGAACATAATTCATAAACATTGTGACTGTAAGTGACCGCACGCCAGTCAAGCGATACTATTTTATTATTACGGTTAAATGAAAATGTAGTAGTGCTGTGTGTGATATTCCCTGACAGTTTACATTTGGATTGCTTTAAAGTGTCACAATGATCGATGTAGGTATTGCTTAAAAATTATAACTACTATAGATAACAGACTAAACTAGTTTAGCTAGGCTTAATAGCCTTTAAATAAAAAAAATAAATAAATAATAGTCTAAAGGTACAAGTACATGAAGGATGTAATCATTATTTAATAGCTACGCCAGGGCTATTGTTGTATTGTTATCGAGCTACATTAGATCTTATAATATGTCATCTGTACATTATACTATGTATTTTTCAAATATGGTAGGACTAATTCATAGGTGTGTCTAAAAAAATATTATAAACTTGAAGGAAACAGACAGACCGATATAAAGATAAAGTCATTTTTTCATAAATGTATGATAATTTCAAATTATATAAATATAGGAGGAGGATATAGAATTATTTTATTGAATTGTTTATAATTACTAAAAAAATCCAAATCGGTTCAGGCGTCTTCTAGTAATCGGTGAATATATATAAAAAAAGATTACTACGAATTGAGAACCTCTTCCTTTTTGGAAGTTGGTTAAACACAAAATGTAGGTACCCCTAGTTAAGCTGCAATAAAACCATCACAACGTCCTGATTGCGTCTGGCTTCACCACAATTAATTGTAAGACTTCATCTAACCCGTATCAATGGCCGATTATAAACGACTTGTGATTGAAAATATAAAATTAGTTTTTAAATGTATTCTATTTGCCATTTACACATAAGTAGAAATCTCTTAATGAGGTTGAAAATTTTCAAAATCTGTTTTAACTAAAATTTTAACATTAGTGTTACATATTTAGGACAGACAGAAGTATTATGTACATTGGTGGATTGTACCAATGTACATAGTACTTCTGTCTGTCTAATCTGATTTTGAAAATTATTATGAGTATTTATTCTATCCTGTTTTCAATAACATAGAAAATAATGTATCTTTTCGAATTTCAGTTTACAGTCTTCACGTTGTTATTGAGTGTAGTTGCAGCAGTTCCGTTTTTAAACAATCCAACGTCCGAAATGTCTGCAGATGAGAGAATTATTGGAAAAAATAAAACGGTGGAATCAGACGAGAGTGGTCACGAGGTTGAATCAGATGTTGATGATAAAAAGTTCTTAGATTTTGCTTTAAAAACAGTATTAGATCCTACTACAGTTATCACGAAAATAGATGATAGAATAGAAAATTTAAGTGCTCAATTGGAAGTGATTGACAAAGAAAATACAACTTTAGACAAATTCATTGAAGACATGGATACGTTGAGTTTGGATGTATGTCAATTGTCACAGAAATTTTTATGGGAATATGTGACAGATATTAGCAGTGAAATTAAAAAGAATAAAATGGTAATATACATATATTTTAATTTAGGTATAATGATGCAGCCATTATTTTATTTGTTATATTAATAAATATAAAATTATAATACTTTCTTAGATTTACGCGAATACTTGACATTTTAAATAAAACTATCTTTTCAAATATAAAATTAATTTAATAAAATAAAAAATAAAGTAATTTAAAAAATATATTGTTTAAAATGATTCTGACTAATCTATACATAATTAATAAAATTCTAACTGAGTCGAATCTGTACGTTAAATAAGTATTTTTTGGAAAATCTTATCGAAAATTTCTAGAATTTTTGTTTCCGTCTGGGAACGCATCACGAGAAAACCACTGGACAGATTTTGATGAAAGGCGTGATGATAGTTGGTTATCCGGGTAAATATATAGGATACTTATTACTGCGGGAAAATATTTCATCTCTGAAAAATCTATACTAAACGTTAAAACGTAATTTATAAGAATTAAAGGTAAGCCCTATTAAATGACTTTTATTTTAGATACGAATAGCTGCCGAGGAGGATAAAATAAAAAAACACTATTGGTATACCTTAAAAATGAAATATTTAAATGCTTCTGTTGGTGTACACCCGAAACTAAAGAGAAAATTGAGAATTATAAAAGAACGGGGAATCAGTGTTCAAATGCCTCAAAGTAAAGTAAGTAACTTTTTGGCAATAGTAGAAGAATATTTATATTAATTTGCGCTAATTTTTAAATTTTACATAATAAATTTTCACTAAACAAACAACTACAGGGCCTTTGAAATCCATACAAAATAAATATTTTGAGGACTATAAAATATCTATATTTTATTAAAAAAATTGCCATTTATTTTTCTAGAATTATCTTTTCAATTAAAATAAAGAAAGAATCCATGATTCTTTCTTTGTACATAATATTCTTGTTCTTATTACAATATTTGCCTTTTAACTGTCATACAGAGTTAAATTTTCTAACATATAATAAAATTGTAACTAAGCTGGATTTGTACATTAAATATTTTTGGAAAAATCTTATTAAAATAGATATTATTATCGATACAGAGGCCGAATCTATAGTTTATAAATTTTTTGTCCGTGTCTGTGTCTGTCTGTTTGTGACCGCATCAGGGAATAACCACTGGAGGGATTTTGATGAAATTTGGGATGATGCTAACTGGTTATCCGGGTATATAGAATACTTTTTACTGCGGGAAAATGTCCCATCTCTGACAAATCTATACTAAATGTTAAAACGTAAGTAGGGACGAACCCGAGCGGAGCTAGGGTGAGTCGCTAGTTTGATTATAAAACATAATTTAAATATGAATTCATCATTAAAATATTTTTTGTATTAAATTTCACTTTATTTCCTTTAAAATGTCTTACACACCATATACAATAATCTGGTAATTCTAGTTTAATCTTGATTCATGACGGGATTCGAAAGTTTCAACCGTAATTAAATGGAAAACAATGTACACGTTACTAGATTCCCTAATTAAAGATCTAAATAAATTCGTAAATGTAAATTTATTTATATTACGTCTTTCTTAAAGACTGAAAGAAATTTTATAATAGGAAAGAAGAAGATACTTTAAAATTTGCTAATTGAAGTGACTTAAAATATTTTTTTTATTTAATGTTTCAATAAAATAAATAAATATTTTATTTTGGGACGTTAACACATAGTACCATCTGGTTTCATGGTAAGCTACGAGGCTGTGTTATGGATACCAGATAGTTGATACACTACAGACATATATCTTTAAATACATACATATTATAAATATAAACATCCATGACTGGAGAACAAACATTCGTGCTCATCGCACAAATGAATGCCCCTAGCGGGACTCAAGCCTGCGATTGCTGGTACAGCAAGTAGGGTCACTACAACCTGAGCCAAACATATCGTCAAATTAGTATAAATACCAGTAAACTCGTAAGCTACTCGACATCAAAAAAGTTTAAAAGTATCGTATGTAAAATTCGAAAATTAAATTTATGTAATATGTATGCAACGAAAGAAGTACGACTATAGAAAATTAAAAAAAAAACCCTATTTACTAACGAATACATTGTTTTTTATAGCAAAGAGAAGAAATAGACACAATGCAACGAATTTGGAGCAGGGTGACGATATGCGCCTACAATGTAACTGACTGCAATAACGAAGATTCGTTGCGAACAATGAATGGTGTGTTGCTTTGACAATAATATAACATGCATATAACGTAAAAATTACCTATTAACATATTTTATGGAGACATATTTTATGACTTTTATTACTTGGGTAAAAATAAAGTAGCATATTAATAAATTTATTATTTAAATAAAGCAAAATGGAAGATAGAATTTTACGATTAATCTGTACCTACTTACCTGTACCTATGTTCTTAAGTACTTTTTTAATATTTTCAGACATAATATCTACATTTAAATCAAGTAATGACTCAGAAGAATTGTCATACTATTGGAGAGCCTACCGTGATGCAACTGGAAAGAAAATCCGTCCTATTTTTAAAGACTATGTAATAAGAATGAATAATATCGCCGTATCAGAAGACTTTTCTGATGCGGGAGATATGTGGCGGTATGCCTTTGAAGATAATGATTTTACTGAAACAGTTGATAGACTTTGGGCCGAAATAAAACCTTTTTACAATATCCTACACGGTTATGTTAGAGCTAAATTAAAAGCTTATCATAATAAAGAATTGAATAAAGATAATACTGCAATACCAGCTCATCTTCTTGGTAATTATTAATTACTAAGATTTAACTCACCTATCTTATATAACCTATCGAAGAATTATTTAAAGAATGGATTAAACGTTTATAATTTGCAATGGTAAATAGTTATCCTAGCCTACAGCAAAAATATAAACATAAGGTCACATGGCATCATAATATTCAGTTTGTTATTCTGTTTGTGGTCAAAGCTAATATGCTCCGTCTATACTTTGTATGTTTATGACATGAACATTTTTATTTTTTTTATTTTGCCTCATACTTAATATTTTTTATGTATAATTATGTAATAAATATTTTATAGAACATCTATATAGGAAAATTGTCTTTATAGGTAACTTATGGGCTCAGGAATGGCAAGCATTATTTAACAAAGTTACAGCGTATCCTGACGTTGAAAGACCTAGAATCTCAGAACATCGGGATGTACATTCAAAAGATCTTTTCAAAGCAGTTGATGAATTTCATCAATCGCTTGGTTTTGAGAGTGCAAATGATACTTTCCAAGATGTCAATGACACAACTCAAATAACTAACTGTTTGCCATCAAGTCATGACATGTGTGATGGTGTTAATTACAAGTAAGTACGTACTTATAAGGCACCAATAACTACAGCTTTATGTCGTGGCAACTTTTTGCCTTTGTCTTCTAGGGGCATTGATGTTACAAGGGGATAAAATGTACTAATTTTGTAAATCTCTTCTACACAAATATACAAAGCGAGTTATGTCCGGCAGCTTCAACTATTTGTAGTAAGAGCATAATTAATCATAAATCATATATTTTCGTAATAAAACTATTGTCTAAAAACTGAACGCCATTTACTAACAGTCTTATCTTAGAAATTATAAAACTTCGTTTTACTTAATATTCGTAATATAGGAGTGCCGGTTTAAAACTAGGCTTGCCTAATTTCCGTGGATCATAGTATTGCCGCATGTAAATTGCTGTTTGTACTATTACACATCTAAGTATCTATCGACATGTTTTAGACCAATTATTCGATTAGATTTTTTAACATGAGCTCTAAAGGTGAATCTATAGGTATAGAGCTATAAGAACAGATGCTTTAAGATGGAGTTTTATGAAAATTAGTGAAATAAAAGTAGCTTATATTTAAAGTAAAATCCGTCTTTAGGTGAATAATTTTAAACATAAAACAATACATTATGAACAAATATAAAAAATGTTAAAGTATAAAAAAGTTACAAGCTTATAAGTTAGAATAATTACCATAATATATATTAAAAAAAATCATTTGTCATCGTTTGTAATAAAGTAATCATAAATACTTTGTGTCGACAAAATGTAGGAATAGAATTTCCTTTGTTTTGCAACTTTTATGCAATATTATAATCGCCAATTCATATTGCAGGATTAAATGGTGCGGTGAGAAGGTATTGGATGTGACTATGGGACTATCGAGAGCAGCTAGATTATTAGGTCATATTCAATATTTTAAGCACTACAAAAACCTGCAGCCTCTTTATAGAGATGGACCAAATCCAGGTAAAAATAAAATACGTCTTTAGTTGTAAATGATATTAGCATTCATTAAGAGTTTTGCTTTGGTTCAGGTATATAATTGTTTTATTTTTTAACTTTATGTTAAGTACCTACTGGAAATTTGTTTGGTAGTTTAGAAATTTATTACATAGAAAACTTATTAGTTATATTTTATCTTATAATATTTATTAGCTATCCGCAGGGAAAAAGCCTTGACTTTTAGATAATAATTTAAAGCTAAAATATATAGGATTACTTGGGTAGTAAAGACTTTAAAATCATATCTTAGTTTTACATAAAATATAATAATAAACAAAGTTTAATACTTTACCTAAAAAAGTTTTCAATCTCTTTTTAATAGTAAAAAAAATATATCTTAAACAAACCTTAAAATTTGTTCCAGTGTCTTAATCTTAACAAAAGCGTTCAAGTGTTCATTTTATTGTCTCTACGAAGGCTTAGCGCATGCAAATATCAAATCAAACATTCCCTTGCATAGAAAAACAAAAACTATATAATAAAAATAAAACTACAATGTACACCTACTGGCCGAACTAGTTTTGATAGGTAGCATAGTAACTAGAATTTAACATTTATTGTGCAACTTGTGAGTTGTGCAATTATTCATAATAGATAATAGCTGCAGATCTTGAGATCCTGGATTCGAATTCCAAATGGGTAAGGAATAGTTATTAGGTTTCATGTCAAAAAAAGTTGCCGATATCATACTCTTGTATCTCAAAGAAAACATGGGAAATGATTCAGATTGTCGTCATAACGGACTAATGTATTGGCCTTCGTACCTGAATTTCAGTCAAGAGGACTATTAAAAGCTATTTAATTTCATAATATGAGGTTCTTTTTTATATGATAATAGTTATAGGTCCTTTATAATATTAGGAATTATCAAGACATAATAACATGTACATCTGTTGTACCTACCTAAATGGTGTTATGTTTTACTTTTTACGAACCCTTCGAATATACCTTTAAGATTTTTTTTTACGATTTTCATTAAATAAATAATAAGTTCAGTAAAATAAAAAAACTATACAAACTTGATATGTCATGTCATGATGTGGTTTTAAGTTTATAAAACAAAGGATATTATAAACGATGTGAGCTCAAAATTTCATAATAAAGATAAAATGCCACAGGGCAGCTCGTGGCAGGTTATTGGTGAATGACGAAACCACGAGCTTAAGAATTCTAAACGGTAACAACATCTATCCCCGCTATTCCGTAACTCTTTTTAATCTTCCGAAGTTCATACACATTGGCCGATAACGGATTTTTGGCGGGTCATGGGTAACTCAGATTTCCGCCGAATGATGCATTACGTGAAATAAAAAATGTCTCAAATAACCTCTACGAGATGCATTCCCAGGAAGGCCTTGTCAAGGGTTCCAGTAAAATGCAAAATAATACTTATAATAATAATGATTGATAATAAAAACTATATGCAATTTGTTTCATAAGATGTAAAAAGAGTACAATATGTTAATCTCCAAACAATAATTTTTGTATACCTACTATTTTAATGATTTAGCAAAACGAAATCCGTAAGCATTTATTTATTTACTAGCACAAACAGATCTATCCCACGGGAACCGTTAATTTTCCGGGATAAAAAGTAACCTGTTGTTTGACCGACAATATAAGGTCACCATGCCAAATTTTACTAAATTCTTTGCATATTGTTGTGTACTAAGCTGTATAAGTTATTATAGTTTTTTAACTATCCCACGGGAACTATTTAATTTTCCGGAATAAAAAGTATCTAAGATGTTGTCCGGGGATATAAGGTACCACCATGCAAAATTTCATTTAAATCGCACCGATAGGTTCGGAAATTAGCCCGTACAAACAGACAAACAGACAGAGAAACAAAAAAATTGAAAAAAATCTGGATTTGTTTTACTTGTCTTCTTACATCCCCTTGTCTCGGTTTTAGCATGATTTTTCTATGTACAGACATTCGACCTCTACAGTTTTATTATAGTATAGATTGTATTTAATAAGTTACGTTAACTACAAGCTTCATTACAGCGTTCCACGATGCGATCTCTGACATCGTAGCGGTGCAGGTGACCTCGCCGAAGCATTTGCAGACCCTGAACTTCGTGAAGGTAGCCACTAGCGCCGAATCTACAGTTAACCATTTACTCTGGTTGGCTTTGGAAAAATTTCCATTAATGGCATATGCGTATGTCCTCGATAAATGGAGATGGGACGTTTTTGCTTATAGTAATATGAAAGATTGGAACCAACATTGGTGGGACCTAAGGTAATTGGCATTACATAGTAAGATTTTTTATAACTTGGTAAAATATAGTAATAAGATTTTAGTTTTACATTTGATTGTAATAGTACAAACATATTCTTAGTTTCACTCCTAATTTTTTGTCGTAATTTGTTTTAGCGATTTGGGAAGTAAAAAAATTACAATTTATAAAATTTTGTTCTTATAATAATATAAAATATTATTCTTAAAGGCACTTAAAAGGCATACAACTTTTATTGAAATTTTAACGAGACCACAATTGTAGTTATGTGTAATTAAGCATGAAAATTGATTTGAAGTTCAAAAAACAAAACAAAGTAAATATCTAATAAACATATAGATTTAGAAGAATTGCTTGAATATTTAAAATAATATCTTACAAGACCTTTCGTTTATATAAGACAATTATGATGATAAAAATTATAATTATTTAATATAGCTATTACGATAGATAACACTGGTTTTGTCCTATTGTGTGATGTTTCATTATTTCTCTGTTAATAACAACATTAATATTTATATTATGCTGAAGTGCAATAGATATAACACGTTACTACAAATTCCTTTGTATACCAGTTATTTATAATAATATGATAGGCGTTATTGGTCAATTATTAATTGACCAATAAAGATTATTATTTTGTTTTTTGGACATTTTTAAAGCTTTTTATTTTTTGATTTCATTTTTTAATAGTATAGTATTTACATATTACATTTACATAGATGAGAAAATGTAAGAGAAAATACATGTTCCAAATATTAAGATTTTTTTTTGCCCAATATAAGCAGAATCATAAGTCACTATTTTCCTTTCGTCTGTCTTTTTTCTCTGATAGAGAAATACGATTTCTTTCTTATTTACTTCTATACTAGCGACTTACCCTCGCTTCGCTCGAGTGCGTCCCTAGGTTCGCGAATTTTGTTCACAATTTCATAGATTTTAATTTTTTTGCACGGAACTCTGATTTTTTTTCTAAAATAAAAGTGGCCTAAATTACTCCTTATAACAACAGCTCTGCCAGTGAAAGTCCCGTCAGAATCAGTACAGCCGTTTCGGAGATGAGCCGAAACAAAAAGACACCAAAATTTTAAAAATAGTTTTTTTCTTATTAGTACCGTATACAATTGCACATGCATTTAGTAAAAAGCTGTTATTTTGACATTACTAACAGACACTTAAATTTTATTTATCTGTATAGATTGCTTTAAGTTAATATATTCGGCTTTATATTGCATTCAGAATCAAGGAAACTGGTATATCGCCTCCAGTCCCTCGGAACGAAAGTGACTTAGATCCAGCGGCCAAGTATCATGTGGTTTCACACGTACAATATATTACGTAAGTTAATTTACCAATTATTATTATTATTTAAGGTACGTTAATCTATAGCGATATATAAAAGAATAAATTCTCCTGTTTTTAGAAGAAAAGAAAACGTGTGTATGTAGGAACTTATGTACGTACGTAAGAAGTTATACTTACTTCTTTGGCATAACAGAACAAAAATATCTAAGCTAAAGACTTCATCCCGTATGCCACAACTCTCTGTTTATTAAAGGAAAGCAGCTAACTTCATCATGTCCCTTTCAGCTAACTACATCATGTCGCTTTTTGGCTATCGGTGTGTACACGCGTATCATAAAAATTTAACTCTCATATTTTTTTCAAAACGTCCCAGAAGACGTACTAATTATGTCAACTTACATTGAAATCGATTATTATTTTTAACATATTGACTTTTTATATAGATAATGGCACTTCTGAATGTTGCTCTTCAGAATATAATTCAAATTACATCAATAACTAAATTAAATTAAAAATTAAGAAACACCCGACATGTAATTCGCCATTTTGTAGTGGCGGCCATCTTGGATTGGAAATTTATCATAGTGCATAGTATTTTACTAGTCAAGCCTTTTCATTTAATACCCATATCGAGGGAGTTGTGAAAAAAATGTAATCCGCCATTTTGTGGCAGCGGCCATCTTGGACCCATTTTCATCAAACATAGCTAAGAACACTCCCGACTAATTCACCTTTCAAACAAAAAAAAACAAAATCATAATCAGTTCATCCGTTAGGGAGCTACGATGCCGCACACAGACATACACACAGACACGTCAAACTTATGAGTTTACACCCCGTTGTTTGTGTGTCGGGGGTTAAAAATAGCGAAAATCGTAACCCATAATCTCATGAAAGACACATTGTTCATATTATCATATTGTAATTACATATGTACAATATGATATTTAGGGATATTAAGGAAAACGATATACGTTGATCTTTGTAACACTTTTTTTTATTACCCGATTGCCTGTATGTATGACTTTTTAGTTAGCTTTTTACGAAGTCGGTTTTTTTATTTTTGTATATTTTTTAAAAATTCCTTTTGAAACTGAGTAGGCATATAATGAAAAGTTGGAAGTCGATTATATCTTATTACGCAACTGCGACAAAGTCCAAAGGAGAGTTATGTATCTTTCATTCGAACCAATCGAGTCAGGTATCATAGAGGCGATACCAAAAATATATACAACTTATTTTTAAAAGTAATTTAGAATAAGAAATTTCTTTTTTAACATTTTTTTGTTTTTTTGTACTCTAGCTTTTTAAAGCTGTAAACAAAAAAAATATATGCAGTCGGAGACATACATATATGTACATTGTACGTGTTTTAGAATAGCTGCGTATGTGTATGTCTGCGACTGCATACTAATGTACTACATATGTTCCTTCGTCAACTTGTTCTCATTTTTTTAGTTCGTTTTTTACCCAGTCGGGTATTTTTATTTTGATTATCGTAACTATTTAAAGCTTTATAGGTAACTACATATATTTTGATGTATTTGGTCTACCTACCTTTGGTATACCAACAATTTTTCCCAATATGTAATGTTCATATAAACTGGTAGTCAATGCTTGTAATCTGTTAACGCTTATCCGAGTGTGCCATGCGTGTCAAATAATATTTGCATTCTTGAATTGTTTCAGTGGTAATTGAATTGTTAATTAAAATATCACTACAGTCCATTCGTTAGAGACGCATGTCTATGTTATAAAAAATGCGCTTTAGATACAACAATCATCATTTTTAATATAAATAATTAATTATGTATCTATGCATAAATTATAAAATTCATACTAATATTTTGAATGTGAAAGTTTGTCTGTTACCTTTTCACGCATAAGCCCTTGAATAGATTTCAATAAAATTTGCCAAGGACGTTGATTGCATCCTGGGATTGGACATTGGCTACCCTTTAACTCCGTCCCACTTACGTTACGTGAGCGAAGCCGCGGGCAAAAACCAGTTTGACTATAAATAATGATCTTTTGAAATAGAATTTAAAATTTTAATTGATATTTTTTATTTCTAGATATCTTATATCTCACATACTGGAGTTTCAAATATTATTATCATTATGCAAGACAGCAAATCATACAGGACCTTTGCACGAATGCTCTCTATATGGCGTGAAGGAAGCAGGAACATTGTTAAGGTACTTCCTTATGACACTACTTAAGAAGATAATATTTTTGATATCATATTTTTAATGTAACAATTTTAACAACGTCACAACAAAATTTATTGTGTGTTTAAAATTTATTATGTGTAGAAAATTACATTAAAACTTTGAGTAATAGTATAAAAAAATGTTTTAAAAGAAAACAATATCCAATGTTCATATAACAAGACGTGCGTGACAAACAATAGCATTCCCAAGGAGGGTTGACGTCAGGCAGGCGGCCGGTCGTAAAACTTTTGCTAAATCCTATAGACAGTACGGAGGATGTACTTTTTTTTAACGTTGAGAAATGCATTTACGCACGAGGTGTGGGACTCACCGGCAAAGCCAGTCCTACCCACTAAAACCCAACAAAACCTTTCCCCGTCTTAATGGGGCGTCGCAGAATCGCTTTCGCATTCAACTACGACGCCCCGACAGCAGGTCTGCCGAAGCAGATCACAACAACCATGGGGTTGCTGCAAGGTCCACTCTGCTATCAGAGAAGTACCAGGAGCAACCCGCATGGTACACCGCCCTCCGAAGTGGGCCACCTCCCTGTGCGTTTCTTGGCTTCGCGCCCAGCTGAATTGCCGGGCACTATTGAGTCCCCCCACCACGACAAGGTGATCGCACATTGGGGGGGACGAAAGATGTACTGTGCCAACCCCAAGTGATTGGGAAATGGGCAGGGAGATGATGATCATATTTTTAATGTAGTCAACTAGTTTGATGAGTTCATGGAAAATAACTTAAGTAGCTACAACATCCTTATTGTTACAATAAACATTACTATTCTAAATACGGAATGATAATTTTACGATCATTTCTATAACCATCGAAAATTCAATATTGACGATGTTTACTTACTTCATTTTATAAAATAAGAAATATATTAAATTTGCTTAAAAATATATAAATATCTAATATTTAGGATCTCTACGTTTGATATTTATACAGTTTTTTATTTTTAATTAATTAAACGTGACGTGTAATGAGTATTTATAATTTTAATACAATAATTTTGAATGAAATATTATGGAATTCTATTTAAAATTTTTATTTAGTCACGAGTTAATAATGTCTATATATAGTCCCAATACGAGAGTAGTTTTAGTAGGTTATAGTACTTATAGTTGACAGTAGTTATACCAGTAAACGAGATGTTGCTTAGCAATTCCGCTCATTTCTTTACACTGCTAAAGAACTGTGTACTTACATACATACGATTTTTTACTAATTGACACAATTTTCCCACAGCAACGGTATGTCTCTCGGAGCAAGCGAAGATTGGCGAACAGTTTTAGAAAAAATAACAGGTGACACTGAACTTTCAACCCGAGGCATTTTAGAATATTTTGCCCCATTAAGGGATTTTCTTCAAACTGAAACTGATAAACTAAAAATCGCCGAACAAGATATGGATATAAGTGCCCCGATAGTTGTTGGTATTATTGTTGTTATTTTAACTTTACTTATGTTTGTTTTATATTGTGTGAAAAACCGTAATGCGGTTAGCAGAGTGTTGTCTCTATGCGGATTAAGCAAAAACGGCTCTTTAGACATTGTTACCCATGAAGTACCACAAGGAAAATCCAACGAAATAAGCGGAGTGAGCGAGGATAAAGTTTAACTTTTTGCTAGTTAGTTTTTTGACTGTTTAATTTTATTATAATATTGTATTTGTATTATATTTTATGTAATAACTTATTTAAATGAAATTGTCAAAGAAGTAATAAAGATGGTTTGGATTGTTTAAAATTTGTTTTTTTACTTTGACCTGTCTATTTCACGAACTATTACAGAAAAAAAATACTCTATTGATTATTTGTTTTGTAGAATAATGTTTAACTGCATTTTTATGATCAATCCATTTTTAAAAGATACCCTTTATGTAATAAAGAAAATATAATGCCTGATTATAATTATCATAAAATAATTAACAAATTTTAACTTAATATAAAAATATTATTAACGCAAACATTATCTGAAATACAATCGAATCCTCAGGACGATATGAAGTGAATATATGTCACGGTCTAATAGTTATATGAAAGGTTGTGTATTGAATTGCCTTTAATATTATTACAAGTAAATCGCGAGGTTTAGTTAAACAGATTTAAAGAATAATTAAAGTGTAAAATTATAATGAAACTGTGTTATTTCAGTTGCGCTCAAGACAAACAGTACATTAAGCCAGTTTAATAGTTCTTATTTCTTTTCTATGTATAAATATCTGATACGCTACTTATTGCTTTATTTTTATATATAATAAATTGTGTTACTCTAAATTTAAATTTAATAATAATATAATAATGTCCTCCTGACCGATTTCGGCCACGGCGGCGGCCAATCTCACTGAGACTAGCCATGCGCAGTAGGTAGATATTATAGTGCAGCGCGTGTACGCGCAGACACAAGTGCACACTCTATTCCTGTCACTCTCATACTCCGGTGGGACGACTGCTCGACACGACCAGTGAGAGTTAAGGCGCACGCTCCACAGGAGGCAAGACGGTGCAATACCGCCAACTTCACAGCTCCGGGCAACTATTGAAAACGTATTTAAATTTGGCCCGACCCGCCTCGAACCTAGGACCTCGGGATCTGCAGCCATACATGCTAACCACTAGACTACCGAGGCAGATACAATATTTTTTAATTTAAATTTACTGTAATACCTATACCAAATATTTTTTAGAATGACACGTATAGTATTCATTTTTGCACACCCATCTACTATATCCATATATCAAATAGATATATAATTTATTCAATGCCATTCAACAAAAAGTTTAAAACTCCAAACAAAGTGTCTGCTCCTATAGAATCGCGAATATTTGTAAACAAACATTATGTATTCAAAACCAATGATGTAGACCGCATCAATGTGGACATCCGCTATACGTAGACCTGTCGAAATAGTTAAAGAGTGTGAGCTGAGTACAACTGCAATCATCCGACAGCTTCCACTTGCGACGCACATACCGGCGCGATCCGCGAATTGTCGCGAATGCAAATTTCATTACAGTGACATATAAAAAAAATCCTTGCCATTTAAATTTAAAAAAACTCATTAAAATTATAACAAAAATTAAAGCCCGCCATTTGTAAATTTTAATTCTTAATAATTTAATTTTTAACAGTGTTTAGTGATGAAACTCGGTTGTGATATTTAAGAGTTTAAAGGTAAGTAACGTTAATGTAATTGTACTTAACTTATGCAATTTAAATATTACAATCAATCGGAGAAAGTAAAAGCTTGCGATTTGTGAGCTAAAAACCTACTTCTCTTTGTTACATACAAATGCGAATTAAACTTATTTAAATACTATTATTAAGATCTTTTTCTGGTATCCTTTTTGATTTTATTGTACTTCCAAAACAATCAAACTATCGTTTTCTTTCGCAATTATAAAGCTTAACGTTCAATTGCGTAAATCCTTATAGAGTTTAGTCAATACGTACGTTAGATTATAATATTATCATTCTTTAAGCATGAGAACAAAACGTGTATTGTCTTCATTCTTATATTTGTTTATGTCCAGATATTAGCATGCACTAATTAATTTTATATATTGAAAGATTTAAATTACGTAAATTCAAAACAAATGTTAAAAAAGTTATAAAACGTGTATGAAAGTTTAGATATTTTTGGACTTCATTCTGAATTGACTTCAATATGAAACCATGATTTTAATTGGTATAAATATTAAATATATCAATAGGTATGTCATATTTTTATAAAATAAATAAAAAAATATAAATTTTCATAGCACTGAAAGCCCATTAGGATCTCTCTTCCTTTGGAATAATTTAAGCGGATCCAATCTCTGGGCATTGAACTTGTGAGATTAGTACTTACTAATACGGTAAAATAAAATATCGTGAGGAAATCTGCATGTTGAGAGAATTCTAGCTAGTTTATTAGACGATGCATGAATTCTTTCTCCATTATGGTTTTATCCTAAGCATCAAAGTAGAGCAGAGGATAGTTCTAAGTAGTGGGACGTCAAAAATGCATATAAGAAATTAAAATAGAACCAAGAAGTTATAAAATCTGTTGTAACAATTTTCATCTCAACACTTTGAACAAAAGTAATGGTTGTATGTACATATATTCTCGTAGAATAAATTAGCTTAATGATACAGTCAATTTTGAGGTTTAATAGTCAGTAAAGCCTGAGACATCTAAGTTTTTGTACAGACTCATGTATTTGGGTTTCTCATAATTATATCATATATGTAGTGTTTCGTATTTGACTTTGACTGAATCTTGGATATTAAGAAATATTGTAGAAACTATAATTATGCAATCTACATTAACATACGAGTATATTATTAGTACACAAACCAATTGTTGATAATAATTAATTACATGAACGAATATAATATTATAGCAACAATGAAAATATTTTACTACGTAGAAATTAGTGATTTTTGCGATCCAATCACCATTTTAAAAATACATTATAACCGATAAAATAATCATAGGACTTATTACCGCAACGGAAATGCATACTTCGATTGTACGAGTATAATGCGAAAAATTTTCTGGCCTATTATTATTGTCATGGCTTTTACTTTCAGAGTATTTATACAGAAGGACCTTAACACAAACCCCATTATTATAGCTTAGTATGAAGTCGGGTTGTTCATTTGCAAAGTGGAATAACTCTGAAGTAAAAAAATAATAAAAACCCGCAACACAATAGCCAATTCATTCAGGCCATTTCAATGAGCTTACACACAATATATATGCTTGCAGTATTTTGCAGATTCCAGGTGACGTGCAGCATCAGGTCAAAGTTACTATATCATTAGAATGTCGACTAAGTTAAGGGTATCAAGTGTCGAATCGATTAGATCTGTGGATGTTGCTCTTTTTTTTTGGTCGTCTAGAAATAAGCTGATGGCCTGCAAACGCCTTTATGTATTTTCTTGATTTAAAGCTAAGAGCACTCTCGATCAATTCACTTTTCAAACAAAAAAAAAAATTAAAATCGGTTCATACATTTGGGCGCTATGATGCCACAGAGAGACATACAGATACACACGTTAAACTTATAACCCCTCTTTTTGCGTCGGGGGCTAAAAGTAATATTTAAGAGCCCCATATTTAACACAAAGAATGAATGACCAAGGAATATTTTTTGGGCTTACTTTCATTTTGTAAAAAAATGATCACAAATAATATTATTCATTTATAACTAAAAAGTACACTGACATTAAAATCTGTTTGTAATATTTCCATACTTTGGACTGGGATTTTCTTGAAATATGAGACCACTCTATAACTTGTTCAATGAAAAGAATCATGAATGTCTGTTTACAACAATTGACGAAGATGCGTCCGTATCTATACAAAAATTTATACACTCGAATTGAGTATCTCCTATATATTATTTGGATGTCTTTTATCCTTGAAGTTGGTCGAAAACAGGCAATTCCTTCGTTAAACTGGTAATTAAGCAATCCTTTGCAATTCAAGAATAGGTTGGTATAATTTTTGTCTATACTTTAGGGGCCGGTTATAGGTATTTTTAACTCGCTTAAATATAGATAAGTCTATTTTAACCAACTCAAATTGCCATTAATTTGAATTTTATCACAATACAATAAAATGATTACATCGTGCTGATCTGATAATGGGCTCAGGAGTTAGATAGTGATTAGTGAACCTGCAATGGTTAGTACTATCGAAGTAAGAAGTTACGAGTGGTTTCATTTTGACATTTCCCATGAATTACAGCTGGGCAAAAAGTTTAAACTCACATGCCGTTTTATAATTATTTAAGTCGACAGTACTTATTTTAATTTCAGGTTTTATTTAATCTGACAATAATTGTGGTCAGCGAGCCATGAACAACTATGCGTACTGCGTTTTATTTGAAAAACGTTTTGTCAAACACAAAATTTACCCATAAAACTACCAAAATAATAACTATAATGTACGCTGTTTCGGACAATTTGGATAGTGAAAATTAAATATGAATTGTAAGAATTCTACTGTAGCAATTTCGAACGTGATTTGATAAACGCAACGTTTAGGTATTGTTATTAACAGTTCAAATAAGTTTCATAGTCTTGTATAGAGCTGGCTGTAAGAAAATTGATATCAAATAACTTTAAGGTAGTTTTATTTTCTTAAAAATATTTATGGTTGACATTATAATAAAATCATAAAATATAAAAATAGCTACGTGATTAATATTATACGTTAGTTTATGTATAATTATTATGTAAAATTATTTCAAAATGAATGAAATTCGTAATCTTAGTTTCGACATTTATTATAGTAAATAAAACAGGCAGCTATTCATAAAACAGTATACACACAACAGTAGTAAACATGTACTCATAAATAAATTAGGTGCTAGTGTTACACATATACGGCTGCAGATCCTGGGTTCGAGTCCCGAGTGAAACAAAAAATATTACTGACCAGAAATTTTCAATAGCAGTCTGGTGATGGGAAGTTGGTGGTGTACAATGTATAACATTGTACATCTCCATCACTCCGAGAGGTTAAAATGCCATGCTCTCCGAGTGTAAGACAGAAAGGAAATAAACTTGTGTATTGTGTTCAGCTGCTGCCGTGACCGATCTCTTCAAAACTTTATTAAAAAA